AATTGTTTCATAATATCATGTCCGCCACAGCTGTTTGTTAGTGATTATGTGAAGAAACAGGCACATTTGATGGAGTTACGCTAAAGTGGATAGCTTCTGGAATATACACTCTGGTGGCCACCATCTTTCATAGACATCTCAACCTGGACACGTGCATTTTTCTTATGTCTAGGGAATGGACAGGAGAGCTGCAGAAGTATACTGTAAGTCACCATCAGAACAGAGGTGACTCCATTTTATAAAAGAATGCCAAGACAGACACTAATTTTTCTTAATGTAATTATATTCATTCAAGTCTGAGCTAAGGAATGTGACTAATAGAAACATTAAAGATAACATAAGAAAACCTGACACCAATCACAGATAACACTAAGTAATTAATTTTCCATTGTAAGGAAGGGTGAAATTAAGGTTACATGTGTCCAATTCTAAATTATGTCACTAAAAGGCAGACACAAGTCTGTGTAAAAGTGAACCAAAAGCTTTTGAAGATTGACAGCTTCTTTGATGAATAGTAGCCATAAAAATAACTAAGATGACATGAAACGCATCACGAAATTCAGTTAATACATTATGCAAAAAGGCAAATGGAGCCCCTGTAAAGAATTTTCGGTGATGTAATTGCGCCATCTACTGACCAAAATCTAGATGATAGTCTGTACGGAAGACACACCTACATTTCTCTATTGGTCACCATCAACTAGTAACGTATAGGAAATTCTCCTTTAAAAATTAAGGAAAAAGGAGAGAGGGATCACTCTTGGACTCTGACTCTTAGACATAAACTTAAGACTCACACTTAACATCTAAGATCTGACATCTAGAGCCAAAGCTGTACACACCTAATTCTTTATTTTTTTTCCAACTAACATAACTTCAGAATTCTGAAATGTTTTATATATTTTCATACAATTCTCTCATCATACTTGCATTCAAAATTCCTGTGACATATCTACACATCTGAAAATCGACAAAGTTTTTATTGCTTTACGCTGTGCTGCTGTGAGATGCTGTTTTCTGTGTTGTCGATTTCAAAGTAGTGTCCTGTCGTAAATCTTGTTTGAAAACTGCATACAACTGTTGCATATAACTTGCTATTTAGCTGTATAATTATGTTAAACCATTGCCATATTGTATACTTATGTTATACCTAAATATTTACTGATTATTGTCATGCATGTTACATATTATTATTATTATTGTCACAATAAATTATATTTTTATAATTCATTTGTGATTAATGTGTGAAGTCAAATCTAATGAAACTCTAGGTTCTATGAAAATTAAAATAGCTTTAAATCATTAATCGGGGAAACAGTGCCAAGATATACATTTTTGATATAATAAAAATTATTAAATTAATTTTTGATAATTTTTATGAAAATATTATTATTAATATTTTTCACCCCATAAAAATTTGCACAACACAGCACCCCTCCCCCACACACAGCACCCCTCTCACACACAAACCCCCCAAACACAGCAACCCTCTCACCCACACAGCACCTCCCTCCACACACAGAAACCCTCTTACACACACAGCACCTCCCCCCACACACAGCCCCCTCTCACACACACACAGCACCTCCCCCCAAACACAGTACCTCCCCCACACACAGCACCCCTCTCACACACAAACCCCCACAAACACAGCAACCCTCTCACACACACAGCACCTCCCCCACACACAGCACCCCTCTCACACACACACACAGCACCTCCCCCCAAACACACAGCACCCCCTCACACACACAGCACCCCTAACACACAGAACTCCGCACCCGTACACATAAACACATACACTGCACCCCTCAATGCAGTATGTGTGTGTGTGTGTGTGTGTGTATGTGTGTATGTATTCAGCAGACTGTGTGTATGTATTCAGCAGTCTGTGTGTACTCAGCAGTCTGTCTGTGTGTACTCAGCATTCTGTGTGTGTGAGTGTGTATTCAGCAGTCTGTCTGTATGTGTATTTAGCAGTCTGTATGTATTCAGTAGCCTGTGTGTGTATACAGTGGACTGTGTGTATGTATTCAGCAGTCTGTGTGTATGTTTGTGTGTGTGTAGTCAGCGGACTGTGTGCATGTATGCAGCGGACTGTGTGTATGTATTCAGCAGTCTGTGTGTGTGTCAGTGTGTGTATGTATTCAGCAGTCAGTGTTTGAATGTGTACAGCAGTCTGTGTGTATGTCTTTTATGTATGTATTGCATTTTTTTTGGAGATACTAATAAATAAAGGCCTAATTGTATCTATAATTAACATTTTTATTCCTGTGAGTTGTGTGTAAGCAGGGCATCCAGTGCACTGCTTTGCCCAGGGACCCATAATGTTGTTTAGATGGCACTGGTGGGTGGGATGGAGGGCTGGAGGGAGCACTGACTTACGTGCTGTTCCAACACTGCTCCCTCCGCTGATGCCGCTGCCTGATTGACATAATTTCCTGTTTATGGAACAGCAGGTAGGTCAGTGCTCCCTCACGCCCACACACCCTCACAGCATCGAGAAGGAATTGGATCCACCAGGTAGGGAGCCTGGGTGGACTTCAAACCCCCACCTGCACCAAAAAAAATAAATGAACATTATTTATGAGCTGGGAGGGAGAGGGGGTTATACTGGGGGATATGCTGGGGGGAGAGAAGGGCAGAATCTTTGGGAAAGGAGGAGGAGATGCTGGGGGAGAGAAGAGGAGATGCTGGGTGGAGAAAAGAGGAGAATCTGGGGGAGAGAAGAGGAGAATCTGGGAGAGAGGAGGAGGAGATGCTGGGGAGAAGAGGAGGAGGAGATGCTGGGGAGAGAATCTCGGGAGAGCAAGAGGAGATGCTGGGGGAGAGAGGAGGGAGAGGAAGAGGGAATCTGGGGAGAGGAGAAGAAGATTCTGGGGGGAGAATGGGAGAGGAGGAGGAGATGCTGGGGAGAGGAGGAGAGATGCTAGGGGAAGAGAGGGAGAGGAGAATCTGGGAGAGGAAGAGGAGAGAATCTGGGGAGAATGGGAGGAGGGAAGAGATGCTGGGGAGAAGAAGAGGAGAATCTGGGGGAGAGAAGAATCTCTGAGGAGGAGGAGAATATCTGGGAGAGGAGGAGGAGAATCTGGGGGAGAGGAGAAGGAGATGCTGGGGGGAGAGGAGGAGATGCTGGGGGGAGAAGGGGAGAGGAGGAGGAAGAGATGCTGGGGAGAAGGGGAGATGAGGAGGAGGAGATGCTGGGGTAGGGGGATATGCTGTGGGTAGAGAAGGGAAGATGCTGGGGAAGAGAAGAGGAGAATTAGTTCGGACAACTGTATGAGTGTTTTTTTTCTAAACTTAAACCTCAGTATTCAGGTTTAATTGCCGTGTTGGCACTTTGAGTAAAAAAAGTTGGCATGTTTTTCGGTTTGGGCACTCGGGCTCAAAAAGGTCAGCTATAGGCACATTGAGTAAGCATACAGAATGAATCTGATCAAGGCAGCCCTCCTGATAGTTCTTCCCCCAAGATATAATGTCTAGGTTACCCCTGTCAATTATAGGGTTGTGTCTCACCAACCATGATAAACCCAAGACAATAGGTACTGTAGGAGAGTTTACGATCTGAAAGGTTATCCTTTCCTTATGTAATGCTCCCACTGACATCTGTTATTCATGGGTTTCTTGTGTCACTAGAGGCTTGTCTAGCTGTCTACCATCTATGGCCTCAACGGCCAAGGGTGTAGCCTTTTGGACCAGAGTCAGGGCAGCGGATTTTCTATCCATTAAATTTTCTGCGACACCTGATTCGATCAGGGCTTCAGTGGTGATGGTGACTTAAAGTAGGACCAAAATAAGTGGTCTGGTGAGCTTTGCAAGAGGGGATAAAGTCAAAACACCCAAGGCGGACCCCTCATTAGGCCTTAGGTGCTGGAGTTTCCCTGAAGGCTAGGGCATGCCTTCTTAAGATGCCCCTTGATCCCACTAGAAGCATAAACCCTCCCTTCTCCTGTAAGACGTCTCAGCCTCTGATAATTTAGTGGAGCAGAACTGCATGGGTTCAGGTGGTGGGGGACTGGGTGGAAGTAGAGCAAGCAATGGTGTGGTGGGTAGAGAGGGGAGTGCGTTGGCGTGTAACCTTCTTTGGCTCTCTCTATGACTATGCCTTTCCCTGATGCGATTATCTATAATGATGCAATAATCAATGATGTCATCCAGTAAGATGGGTATTTTCCTGGGTGCGACTTCATTCAGGATGTAACCGGCCAATCCTTCCTGAAAGGCGGTTACTAGGGCGTCATTATTCCAGACCACCTCTGCCGACAAGGTGTGGAATTCTATAGCCTAATACGCTACAGTTCTCGAGTCTTGCTTGATCCTGAGTAGAGCTTTGCCAGCGGAAGTAACCCTACCGGGCAGATCAAAGGTTCTCTTAAAGGCAGAGAGAAAATCCGAATAGGACATGGAGCAGCCGGACTCCCATATATGATTAGCCCAAGCCAAGGCGCTACCCGATAGGTGGTTAATTAAAAATGCTATTTTAGATATGTCACTAGGGTACGAACATGGATTCAAAACCAGATGAATTTGATCTGGTTAAGGAATTATCGACACAGCGTCGGATCACCACTATAGCGCTGTGGAGGCGTGATGTGAACTGTATGAGCCGGGACAACAGGTACTGGTGCAGGAATGGAAACTGGTGGAGCAGCAGCACCTTCCAGTGCGTCAGGTAGTAAGTGGGCAGTACGGACTAAAATGGTTTGCAGTGCTTGGGCAAATTGGTGCATATGGTGGTCAATACTATCCATCCTGGAAACTTGATTGGCCAACTGCCGTGAAATGTCAGCAGGTTCCATATGTTGTAATGTCACGAATTCCGGAACCAGACACGCTGACAAAACACAAACACAGGAAATACAGTACCAGTCCTTAGAGTGGCTGGGCTGTGCACACAGAGAGAAGTCAGGATACAAGCCAAAGTCAGAGGGAACCAGAGAGACAGAATAATTGATAAGACAAGCCAAGGTCAAGGTTCAGAGAAAGCAGGATAATCAGTGAGACAAGCCAAGATTTCGTTAACCAGACAAAAAAACAGAATACACGTGCTATTGGGCTATCAGAAGACAACAACAGGGCAAGTAGGCATGGGGGAGGTAAGTTTATATATGCTTAGTGCAATTCTAAATGGGCTAACTTCCTATCAGAATTCACTATAACACGTGGAAGGTATTTAGTACTTCCACTTAGTCCTGTGATGTAATATTTGCGTGCCAAGTCAGGTGGCTGACTCAGGCGCCTACTTAAGAACGTTGTACACGCCCACTCGCGGGAACCCAGCACAGGTCCTGACAATTATTACTACAGCCCACTGTAATGGTATTGAGGCTAGGAGTACCCTGGTGCCCTTGTGCGCGAGAGGTGTTAACTATTTTGCAATTACTTGCCTCTTAACCGGGTCCTGCTAGACGCCAAATTTCTCTCAATGCTGGCTGAATGGACTCCACCTTCTGCCAAGCTGAAGAAGCTGGAAGCCGATCTTATTGGTCATTCATAGAGAGCATCAGCCAACGAATGAGTGTAATTGGAAACTCTTGTTACAACTCTGGCAGACATGTTAGATATTTAAGTATGTACAGAGTTTAAAACACAGAAGTGATCATTGTGCTAAGTGAAATATGTCTGAATAACTGAAAAGAACACTGTTTTGAAAACACCTTTCAAAACTAATCATTTGAAAATGTTGGTCCTTGAGGACTGACACGAGACTTCCCATTCCCAAGTGTTTAATATCGTAGGCTTCACAGACCATTCAAACAAGGTCATGGCTTTTTGTTAGGTTACATAAGACCTTTGAATTAACAGAGTGTGATTGGAACTGTTTTTTTTAAAGGCAGTAGCACATTCTAAACTCCATAATAATTAAAACAAAGTGTATAATGTTGTGTGTCTACTCTACAGCATTAAAAGTAAACACCTTGCCACCTGTGTATATATACTCCCAATATTTATTTCAAGAATTGTGTTAAACAATCCAAAATTCACAAAAGAATTAAAACAAAATATGCAAATGCTACTAACAAATTTGTTTTTTCTTGTTTTAGATATGTGTATTCCCCTCCATCAATAAGTGTAACCATAGAAAAAGATCAAATATAAAAAGCACAAGTTTTATCTGTAATGAAAATTGAATTGTGATAATTCTATTAGGAACTCACTCAATATATATAGAGCTAATATATAGAGCTAAATATTCCTGGCTCAAGAACATTGGCAGATGGTGTCGGTAAAGTTTCACTACACCTCACAGCATGTGTGCACAGTATTGTGGAAAGTCCTCAAAAAAAACAACAAAAATGTAAATCTAGAACAGCAAGTAGTGTTGCCTGTAGGATACGTAATATATGGAGAAAGCCGTAAAGAGATAATCACAAGAATTATAGCCTATGGACCTGGTTCAAAGTGTAACACTACCCATTCAAAGGTAGAACTGGAACACCAGCTAATGCAGTATAAAAGTACTTTATTGTAGCCAATAAAATAAATGGAAAAGAATGGTAAATTAACAAATCATAACAAATAAAAAAAACTAAAGTACAATAGTATAGCTGCCCTCCAAGATGCAACTCACCATTTTCCTGAGGAATCTTCATTTGGTAAAATCCAGTCCACCTACATCTGTATTTAACTTTGCATCCGTGCCTGAGATCTGTCACATGACCAATCTGTACGCTATACACTACCTTCATACCTCCCTTCCAGAGGTGTGCTTACTTCCACCAATCACAGTCCTAAATGGGCTTGCATTGTTTCGATATACAGTACTAAGCAGATCATATTGTCATCGTTACCTTGGTAAGAGAGTGTTGATAAACAAAGGAAAACTTACAGGTTAAAATCTCCACTAACCAATGATTATAGTAACATGTACTATGTAATCACAATTACGTACTCTATTATAAAGGGACATAACATAAATATTTATGTACAACAGTGCTTAAGACAATAAACTATTTAGAAGGCGGCTCACTTTTTTTTCCCCTTGGGTCATGCAACAGCATTAAATGTATTAATGTCCTAAAGATCATATATTTAAGTCCAAATAAAAATAGAAGTAGTTATAAATAGATCTGAGGGTGGTTGCAAGTTCATAAACGTGTGTTGGGATAAAAGAGTAACAGGAAAAGCACTAACATTACAAAAGACTATAAACTCTCCCAAGAGCTACTCGAACTGCCATTACTGGAGTTCACCTTGTCCGAACACACATGCAAACACTCCACTCCATGTAAATGTCAAAGAATAGCCACCAAGTCAGAGGCCTATTCCAGGGAAAATTGTCTTTTAGCAATAACCCAATAACCAGCACCTTGTAATTGGTAATTCTGTAACCTTAATACCTATGACCTCTTATGACATCCTGTATCATATTATGGAAATGCGATTTCTGGGCAAATAAAGTAGTAAGCATGTTCTGTAGAATGCATTGTGTTAATGCATACACCTATTCCCACAAATTAAAGCAGGACAAAGGGAGAGCAAAAAAAAAAGTCATACTAGGGTAAAGTTGAGGCTGAGAGGAAACAGACCAAAAGTACTGGGGACAATGAATGGTTCCACTCAGTTCTCTTCTATATTTAGACATGTTCAGCCTGTTTTTGGTTGTGACCTGCTCTCTCATCTACACCAGATGATTTTGGCAAATTAAAATCTATCCTTCGCACTGCAAGCTTTTGTTTCCTTCAAATCTTCAAGTCCAAGCAGTACAGTGGTGGTGTGGCCAACATGTCCCAACTGAGCTTCCTCTAGAGGGCAAAAGGAATAAGCAAGACATTTTGTATTCGTACTAAGCCTAAGGAAGCAGGTGTCAATTCAATGCATTGAGTGCTGAGTCCATAGTGTTTATCTGTTGTTGCTTTGAGTTTTAACTAGTACATTAAGCAGTATCATCACTTTATAATTTCACACTCCATCATATCATTACACGAAGAGTTATTCAATAAATAGGGAATTATCATGAATTTATAACGGAACTGTACATGTTAGTCCAAAAAAAACCAAAATTTAAAACCTTCTCCAACTCCTTTATTTTGCCCTAAAATTTGTCATTTCCTTGGCAATTGCTGGTTTAATGAATAACACTAATAACCTATTTAGAACATTGCCCTGTACAACATACATACGGACTTCCCATATCTTTCTAATATATTCTTCAATCTATCACACAACCTTGCTAAATGATACATGCAAGTAAAGCCTTTGCAAACATATATTCACCTGTCATTTCAGTGACTGTCAAAAACACTCTTTGCCTGTAATTACTTTGTCACAAGCTGCATAAATTAGTCTGTTGTAAGTTAACGTTAAGTAGTCATAAAAGACTGTTGAAGCATAAAAAAAAATAGTAATAATTATACATTATAGAATATCCACTAAGGGGAAAAAAATATATTTTTAATTCCTGTAGTATCTTCAAAACTCTTACAAGCCCAGTGCTCACTTCATACAAAGCTTTTTTTGTGAGCTTATTTTGCTTGCAAGTTGCAAACACCTTTTCAGTTACAAGATTTTTCAGTAAAGATCACTAGCCCCTGGTCAGGATTTGCAGATACATCCGGGCGCACTCAAATTGCAAAATCTGGACATTGCTCATAATAATATCAATGTTCCAACTGTGCAAAGCAGCATTGACTTGAGCAATCAGTCGACATTTGTATCCATATTAAAATAACTAAATAAATAATTTAAATGGTTTGACTCCTTACAATGGAGACTACTGGAACCAGTGCCAGTGCTGCAATGATGATGGAGCTTGGAATGTTCCCTTAATTTTATACTATCCTATGTCCCCAGTCAACATGCCACCACCAACAGTCTGTCTCCCCTGGAGGTATGGGTAACATAGAGATTACACTTTGCATTAGCAATACCAATTCATACCAGCAAATGGCAGCTGCCACTCTCAGCCAATCAAAGTCCCCTATTGCTGCTTTGGCTAATACTTCTTCTTTATTATTTTTATTACCAGCACAAACCAAGAAACTTATGGTGGGGAAAAAAGTGATTGAAAATCCCTCCACCTGAAGTCAGCGGACAGTCAATACATTGTTTAATACAGATCTGCACACCAGTCAGGTCATAAGACTTGCTTTTCCCACAGAAATCTCAAATTTGCAGTGATGATACTAACGCAAAGGATTCTGGGTGGGCATAAGCAAATTAGTTCAACAAAGAATCCCAATTTTATGGCAAGACAGGAGGCTTCATATTTGCTTATCTTACTTTACTGTAACTCCCAGCAGCAAAGAAACAGTTAACAATGTTGTATGGAAAATTCAACCAATCATAACACATCTCAGCTGCAATATAGTGTCATCAGACTCCTCCCACTTCCTCTTTCTTTGCTGCTTGCCTCCCAGGTGAGTCTACTCCAATTATATTGCCTTTCTAATTTTGGTTTTATATATCTTTTATTTGTATTTTGTAGTTTTACAACATCTACTTTACCACAGAAAACTTTGTTTGTAATTAATGTCTCTTGTTTACTATTCATATATCCTATTTCTCATTTATCTATATATATATTTTTTTTTTTAAACTTAGTGTTGTTCCTTTAATTTGGCACTTTTTTTTTTGTTTGTTTGTTTGTTTTTTCACATCCTTAACCGGTTGTATCTTTTTATGAGCTGGGGTTTCCCCTTTAAATTTTGCCGACACTCCGTTTGCATAGACGGAGTGCTCTGGTAATTTTGCGCTATTTTTTCAGTCAGCTGGCCGCGGCTTTCCTCAGAGGTAGAGCCGCGGCCCATTCTCATCATTTACTGCGGCCGCGGACTCCATTTCCCATGAGCCCGCGGCTGCTGTTTTTCCCGCCTTCCTTTCCTCCCGCCCATTCGCGTCTCCCTTGACACCTTCTTTCCTGCCCTTTTTAACAGCGGTGATCTCGCGGCTGCCATCTTCGCAGCCCAGTGCTCCTTCACGGATCCTGTTACCAGCGCATAGGAGTTCATTCAAACTGAATTACTTTATTGCCTGGCTTGTGACAGGTAGGTTAATGCTTTTCTGCCTCCACCACGTTTTTCATATGGGCATCTAATTTACAACACGATCAGTATACTGATCTTTTCTCATCTGCTTTTTGCAGGTTTGCTCTACAGGACCAGACTGCTGAATTTTGGGTGAACCCCTCTCCATGTGTTTGTTTGATTGATTTATTAGTGTGGTTGATTTTGTACTCTTAATATACTTTGCCAAAGCTTGTGTGGCTGACCATTTTTTCGCTATTGTGGGCGAACCCCACTTGCATATTAAATACTCAAACTGTGTAAATATCTGTGTGGCTGACACCACCTACTGAACACACTACTGTGTGAAATATTTGTGTGGCTGACACCACCTACTGAACACACTACTGTGTGAAATAGCTGTGCAGCTGACCCCAACTGATTTATTTTGTGGGTGACCCCCATTTCTCTCTGTACATATTTATATATATATATATATATATATATTTTTAAAACTGTTTCCTAGTGGGTGATCCCCACCTCATTGACTGTACAATAATATTGTCCCCCAACTGCCCAATAGGGTGACCCCCTATTACTTGCATCTTACAATCAAGATTTAATTGTGCCAAGCATTTGTGGGTGAACCCCACTGTTTTGACGTCTCGTGGGTGACCCCCACCTTTCATATATTGTAATTGAGTGGCCTCATCTTAATTTGACAACTAACATTGCCTATATAGTTTGAGCACACATTATGTCAGACCGCCAAGACCCTGCCATCTCTGCCGAACTTAAGGAATGGCTCTTCTCCACTATAGCAGAGTCCATTCCTAAGGCTTTGGCAGCCTACCATGAACGTGCCACAGAGGTACACCCCTCTACACAACAACCCTCTGACTCTGAAGATTCCCATGTCTCCGACCAAGACAGCGCCCCGCGCAAGAGACCCTGGAAAGGGAATAGCACTACTGCGGGCAAAGGCAAAGCTCCTGCAAAGGTCATTAAACATTCTAACCCATACGTTACGCAGGATGCCGCAGGCCCTCTAGAGGGTTCTACTTCACGTTTGCCTGGCCATATTTTAAGCGACTATGATCCCAATTACTCTGATGAGGATCCCATGGTGAATGCGCCCCAGGATTCCTCAACATCGGAGTTCGTAAAAGAAACCTTTCTGGGCCAGGATCCCAAGAATAAGGTGCCTGACTCAGACACCCTCCTGGATGCCTCAGGCCTCCCCCTTTTTGACCCAAGGGTGATTCGTCATCCGCGCTCAGCAGAATAGGCTCCCCCGGACCATATTGCTAATTTCTGTAAACTGTGGCTTCGCAAGCCCCTCGAAAAAGAAATAAGAAACAAACTAAGGGCTGAATGTCCAAGACCTACAATTCCAGGCAAAGTGGCCTCTATCCCTGAATTCGACCCCATGCTGGTCACCTATTTGACGAAATCTGGTAAAGACCCTTGTAAGGGTATTGAGCAGGGTTTAAAAGCGACCCAAGACAAACTATTAGACATTTCAGGTCCTATAATTCAAATATTTATACTAGCAGATGAGGCACTCACCAGCGGTGAACCTGATCTGCATATTATTAGAGAATGGGCGCAGAGAGCCCTATGCTTATTGGGCAACGCCAATGTGGCTATTTCGATTGAGAGACGCAAAGCGGCACTTTATAAAATCGATGCCAAATTAGTAGACTTGAGTACTAAAGAACTAGGCCCAGAGGCCGATGGTCTACTGTTTGGTAACAGTTTCATGCGAGACCTCTCCAAGCATGTCTCGGTTTTTACCACACTTAATAAAGCCCAGTCCTCCCTACGTAGGGTTTTCCGCTCCCATACTCATCATTTTTCTCGGAGAGCTGGTCGCTCCAGGGGCCGAGCTACCAGTAGAGCAGCCTTTACAGGCTACAGGCCCCGACCCACAGAGTATTGGTCCACAGGATATACACGACCCTACCCCAGACAACTGTTCAGCACCAGAGGCTCGATACGAGGACGTGGCTCTGCATCCCTGCGCGGACGCACTGCTTCAGGTAATGGACCTTGCTTATTTGAAACATGTATCAATCGCAGGTCGCTTAACATTCTTTTTCCAACAGTGGAAGCTTCTTTCTCAGGATCTTTGGATCCTTCATACAGTCAGAGGTTTCAAAATAGACTTTTTCACACACCCAGTACAACACTCTCCTCCGACATCCTTAGAGATGTCAAAAGCAGACACTCTAACCTTGAACACAGAACTAACAATATTGGTACACCAGCTGGTGTCTGGAGAGGGATTTCGATCCCGTTTCAGCATCTCTCTCATCCATTCTAAATTTTTTATCATCCCTTTTCGATCAGGGTAAATCATACCGATCGATTAATATTTTTCGTTCCGCCATTTCAGCAGGCCATGACCCTATTGACAATTCCTTAGTTGGGAAACACCCTTCCGTGTGCAGACTTTTACGGGGCATTCATTTGACGAGGCCACCCTCTGCCAAATACTCTAGGTTCTGGGATATATCTCGAGTCTTCGCGCTGTTGGAGTCTTGGCCCCCTAACGAGGCCTTATCCCTTCGACAACTCTCTGCGAAACTAGCCCTGCTACTGTGCCTGGTGTCCTTCCGCAGAGTTTCTGACGTTCAAGCTTTTGACTCACACGCCGTCTCCTTCGCACCAGAGGGTGTCCGATTTACAATTACTAGGCGCACTAAGACAAACTCCTCATCTGTTTTTTACCCGTACTTTCCTGACAGGCCGGCCCTCTGTGTGGCTCTGTGTACCCGTTGTTACACGGAGGTAACTGCCACCCTACGTTCCCCTACCGGGCCCCTTTTCATCTCTTACGTTAGACCTCACAAACCGGTCTCTTCCCCCACTATCGCTTGCTGGATAAGATGGTTGCTTACCCAAGTGGGAATTGATAGATCATTCGGAGCTCACTCCGTTAGGGGAGCGGCCGCATCCTCTGCCTTTCGTGCCGGCAGTTCGCTGGTGGATATTTTGTCCTGCACAGATTGGTCAAGGGAATCTACCTTTCGAACCTTTTATTTTAAACCAACACCACATGCGGCTATTTCTATTGTTCAAGAGCGTTAAAGCAGCAAGCCTCCTGTCTTGCCATAAAATTAGGGATTATTCTAGCTTCCAGTGAACGAATAATCTAAATTTTATTAAAGACAGGAGGCAAATATTTTCCCTCCCTTTGTTCACTCTGGAACCCACCCTCAAGGTAAGTCTCATAGTCCATGCTTAATGTATGATACCGTTTCTTGCATCTAAATTTGCAATATACGATTTGTTAGATTTGTGGTTACGCACCTACATCACAGGGTACTGACATGTCCTTTTCCTAACTCTGCCAGTTCGTCTGAGCTATAATTAGAAGTAGGGGGTATAACTATATTTTTCTCTTGTCCAAGAAACCTTACTTTCACGAGGTCTCTCTTCTTCTCTTTTAGTGTGAAGATCTCAGGTTTGTTTGATCAACTTTCCGTTTACAAGGTTGACTTCATCTCGAGTTACAGCCTCGGGAAATGTTCCAGTTCCAGTTTACATGGTTGACTTTGCTACTGACCGGCAACACCAAGAAAGAGGAAGTGGGAGGAGTCTGATGACACTATATTGTAGCTGAGATGTGTTATGATTGGTTGAATTTTCCAAACAACATTGTTAACGGTTTCTTTGCTGCTGGGAGTTACAGTAAAGAAAAATAAGCAAATATTCGCCTCCTGTCTTTAATAAAATTTAGATTATTCGTTCACTGGAAGCTAGAATAATCCCTAATTTTGCCTCATAATCAATTTTAAACATGGATTCCTTGAAGTTTATGTTTGCTGTATACAACTGCTTTGAAAAAAAAAAGTCAGTGAACCACTCATGGATAGTTGTTTCATTGTTAATGCAAATCATCAGCATGAGGTTGGTTACTGGCTTGCTATTGAGGCATGGCATTACGTCCTCTTCCTCAGCCTAAGTAGCACATGGAAGCCGGCTACTGGCGACTATAATTTCTGTTAAACCACAAAACAGTTTACCAGTGAACATAAATATGGCACCAAGGAATTCCAGACAATATAGCCACTGCAACATACAATAAAATAAGGGTGCGCCTAAAATATATAATAAAATATATATGGAATATAATAAAATATGAAAATATAAAAAATTTAATATAAAATAAATGATTAGCAGTGGTCCAAATAACTTATAAGTCCGAAATGATAGGTTCCACGTGTGAAAAGGGGATTCTTGGGATGTAGAATGGAGTGAATCTTCACGGTTGTATGCTTGAGATTCAGTGGAGCGTATGTAAAAAAAAAAAGAAAGACAAAAACAGGACTCCAATGGCACAGTATATAGATGAATAAAATTATAAAGTAGTGATAATAGTATTACTCACACTTTTCAGAGCTAAAATCCAGCTCTGATATTGCGCGCGTGAAGTCGAATAATCCCCACTCTGGGATATATGGAGTAATATTTGATTGGCGAATATCTGGCACAGGTTCGGCATCCAAATTAATATTGTTCGACCCAGAAAAAGAGGATAAAATATAGTGCTCTCTGTATTACAATTTAAAAGTTTTATAAAAGTATAAAATGTATTACTCACATTATTAAGAGCAGGCTTGTACTGCTCGGTGTAAGCGCTTGGGTGGTATAATCCCCACCTGTGGATTCTTTAAGCTTCTTGTAGGGTATGCAATATATGTGTAGTCAGGTAAAAAAGAAAGAATATGGCAAGAAAGTATTTTATGCCAAAAAATTTTATTTATTATAAAATAGTAAAACAATATCTAAACGCGTTTCGCCTCAAAAGGCTTCTTCAAGTAGATAATAGTAAAAAGGGACACAACCTGACATACATGGGTTTATATAAGGTACAATAATACTATTGAAATTGAATTTCCCGCCAAAATGACATCATCAGAAACACCTTATCATAGTACAAATAGAAACAGTAATTAAAGCATAGTGTTATATAAGTACAAGTGACATGAGGTAGGTGCAACTATTAAAAATGTAAAACAAGAGTTATAAATATGTAAAATAACATTTAGAAAGCGATCACGTGACGCGCGGCTAGCCACTGCACCTCAACTAGATGAAGTCATGACTGTGCCTCGAGTGTCCCTTTAATATACTGAGAATAAGAGGGAACATGCTCTTATTCCTCCACTCACTGCCCAGCGTTTTAGTGGTAAAAATAACTAGTGACTAGGCAGCTATTGCTGCCCAGTTGAAAAGGGTCCCATCCTATTAGCGGTGGAATGGGGGTTGTAAATGAATGGGGGGAGACATGGCACTGATCCTCCCCATGGTCATTGGGACATAGCCGCATAGTTATAAGTGGGGAATGACACGTCATTGTCCCACTCACTCCTTCACATGGGTGTTGGGGAGGAGCACTACTATAATATGCTTTTATCCACCCCTTGCCCCATCCATGGTAAGTAGGTGAAGGCTAAATATTCTAGCTTGTGTAGGTAGGAGGCATGCCAATTATCCCTGTCCATGTCCCCTTAATTGATAGTTATTTTAACCTCTAAACTGCTAAACAGTTGAATCCCCAATAATTACATTGGTGTCAGTCTGATCAGATTTTTTTTTTCTAACTTTTTTGCTGCAACTGGCTAGCAAGAGCAGGGAAGCCCACCCCCACACACGACGCCCCACGGCTTCTTCTTTTGTTTAACAATTTGCCCATCAGCTGCTAATGTTGCCATAAGGCAATTAGTTCAGATTTAAATAAATTTGAAGGTTAAATAGCAAGTTAATTGTTTCACCAGATTTCCCAGTATCTGGGCAAGATCCAGTAGAAATCAGGCATACATTTGTTGTTTGTAAATATATGAATCCTGTATTTTATTTAACCCCTTCAGGACGGAGTCAATAGTGCACGTTCTGATCAAAACAAAACGTAAACAAAAACTGGAATTTGCGCTATATGTCTGTTCAACCGTAATTCACCGACATTAAGTGCACCCACACTACTTATATATCATTTTGTTCAGGAGAAACAGGGCTTTAATTTATCATCAACTATTCATATATGGAACATAATTTATTATGAATAAAATTTTTAAAAATGTGTGAAAATAAGATTATTTTTTTACATTTGTATTTCCGTCTGACATTTTAGCTGTGAATGTCATAATACTGTTAGGTTTTACTGCAAAAAAATGCACATATTTGTAATCAGCGATGTCTCACGAGTACAACAGTACCTCACATTAACAGGTTTTATGGTGTTTTGGAAAGTTACAGGGTCAAATATAGAACGTTCCATTTTCAAATTGAAATTTGCCAGATTTGTAATGTTACCTTTGAGACCGTGTGGTAGCCCAGGAATGAGAATTACCCCCATAATGGCATACCATTTGAAAAAGTAGACAACCCAAGGTATTGGAAGTGGGTTAGGTTTAGTCTTTTTTAGTAGCCACTTGGTCACAAACACTGGCCAAAGTTAGCGTTCATATTTGTTTTTGTGTTAAAAAAGCAAAAAACTAATATTTGGCCAGTGTTTGTGACTAAGTGGCTACTAAGAAAGACTGGACATACCCCACTTGCAATACCTTGGGTTGTCTACTTTTGCAAATGGTATGCCATCATGGGGGTAATTCTCATTCCTGGGCTACCATACGCTCTCAAAGGTAACCAATTTGGCAAATTTCAATGTCAAAACAATGAAATGCAAGCCTTATATGTGACTCTCTAACTTTCCAAAACACCATAAAACCTGTACATGGGGGGTACTGTTATTCTCGGGAGACTTCACTAAACACAAATATTAGTGTTTTAAAACATTAAAACATATTACAACAATAATATAGTCCATAAAAGTGTTGTTTGTTTGTAAAAAAAAAAATGCAAAAAAAATTAACTTTTACTTAAAATATCATCGTTGTAATACAATTTACCAGTTTGAAACACTAATATTTGAGTTCAGCGAAGTCTCCTGAGTAAAACAGTACCCCCTATGTATGGTGTCTTGGAGAGTTACAGGGTCAATTATAGTACTTGCGAATTAAATTCTCTGCACTTTCTCCCTGTGTTGTCAGGCATGTCAATCAAATTTTAATTAATCAAATCACATAATTATGTTAAAAGATTACTTAAATATACATGTAGAATTTTAATATATATGCATTTATAGGTATTTAAATTCTACGTGTATACTTATTTAATAATTTATGTAATTATATGTATTTATCTATATATATATATTTATATTTGCGGTTATTTGTATTTTATATATAGATATATATAGAATGTCATTCTAAGTGTATTTTGTTACCAATATATATTAATAACAAAATACAGTTAGAATGAAATTACATATGAAAATAATTTATATTAAATTTTGTTTCAATATTTTATTTATTAATTTTATTTTATGTATTTATTATTGTAATTATACGTATATATATATATATATTATGTGTATATATCTATTATATAGAATATATATATTATATGTAACGTCATTCTAAGTGTATTTTAATACTAATATATGTACTTATATTAATATTAAAATACACTTTGTATGACGTTACATATATATATGTATATTAATATTAAAATACACTTTGTATGTAATGTCATACAAAGTGTATTTTAATATTAATATAAGTATATATATTAGTATTAAAATACATTTCTATTTTATCTTAAACATGTTTAATTATGTCTGACATTTTAGATCCACAGCCAGTTATAGGAGGCCATGTGATCGCTCTTTGAGAGCGATCACATGACCCCGGGGGCTTCTTTTGCCATGGGATGGCTGCCTGGGCTGTCAGGCAGTCCTCCCGAAGCGGAGCGCAGGGAAGGTAAGTATCCCGGGCGCTCTGAGGGCTGCAGCCGTTACGGCGTTCTATGCCGCCGCAACGGCTTTAACCCCTTAAGGACACATGACATGTGGACACATGACATGTGTGGTTAAAGCCCTTTTAAATGGGGACGGCATAGAACGCCGTAACAGCGTTAGCGGGTTAAGATTTCCAAGCAAAAAATAACATTTAAAAAATACACTGAATGATGCTCATTTTGGTTGAAATGGCTGAATTTTAGTGGGATTTGCTGTTAGTAAACATGAGAATGGTATGAAACCCTGACATTTTTAAGTAATTTTGTTCATGCAAACAAAATATGGTGCTTAGTATATAGCTCCCCCTAGTGTTAATTTTTTCCCCCTCTTTACAAACTAAACTGTGAATAGTATTTCAAGTTACAGTTCAACTACTATAATTTTCAAAGGGGTTTAAAAGCACTTTTTCCCTGTTTACAACCAATGAGTTAATTGGGGGAACAGTCCCTTAATTTTCACCAGTGTGATTTTTATATAGCTATGTAAACCTACAGCCAACTCATTCAGCTTGCTCACTTGGAGTTGCTTTAAGTGCTCTATTAGTCTTCTTTAAGGAGTTATTTAAAAAAAACAGATGTTCAAACAAACCAGGTAATTACTGTTTTTCATTGTTTTTATATAATTGTTGCTTTGTTGTGTCTTGGTAAATGAGGGTAGCAGCAAGATTGAAAGTGTGACACTGTGCACACCATGTAACATGGATGCGCGCCTGGAAGAATCCTTCTAGGGTCCATGACCCTGTGGCAGGTGTGCCCAAGAGGAAGTCCAGAATGAAGATCTGGAGAAGCAAATTCCAACATTGAGGCAGACTGATAATTGTTAAAGGGATCTGCTGCTTACTGAGCAGAGTTTAGTGGGGGTATGTAGTGGTGTGGTTATAGAAAAGGCAGCTAGGAAACAGGCACATAGCTGGTTACTTGCACAGCATAAACCAAGAAACTTATGGTGGAGTTTGTGCTCTGCAAGTACTGCCAAGCCTCAATAGCAATCCAGTAACCAACCTCATGCTGATGAGTTGCATTAACAATGAAACAGCTGTCCATGAGTGGTCTACTGGCTTTGCATAACTTCCTGAGTTGTGTTTCAAAGCTGTTGTATACAGCAGATACAAACTCAAAGGAAGCCATGTTTAAAATGGAATAATGAGGCAAAAAGGTGATTCTTTGTTGAACTAATTTGCATATGCCCACGCAGAATCCCCTGCGTTCGTAACATCACTGCAATTTTGAGATTCCATTCCCCCCTCTCCCCCCCCACCATAAGTTTCTCGGTTTGTGCTCCGTAATAAAAATAATAAAAATAATAAATACATAAACACAACAAATGAAAAATAAGAAGATCAAAAGGAAGATAAACATGGAAATAATGAAAGGAAAAGGAAACAATTTAAAAAATAAAAAAAAAAGGGGGGGGAAAAGGGAGATATGTTTTTACAGCAAAAGAACACAAGACCAGAAAGTCAAATAAGACAAAAGACTTTCACATTTTTTACAAGGAAAACCATTCAAGGAGAAATAACCTTAGATTCTGAAACATCCTTGAATCAATAACAGAGTATAACTGGAAGAATTCCGGAATATTTTTTAAGGAAGGTCTTTGGAATTTTCCCACGCTATGTAATTTGACTCAATCAACATTCAATCAACCAGAGTGTTGTTTGATAGACATGCCCCTTCTCGCAGTATAGTGAGTAGTGGAAGAATTTACTAATACTAAGTCATCTTTACTTAGTATTAGTAAATTTGTCTGAAAGACCAATTTAGGTCTTTCAGCATTTTGGTAGACAGGTCCCTAATACCATGGGAATTAGGGAGTTATCTACTTATTCATGCCCATCCATTGACTGGCTAAGTAACTAACATTTTATATGAATGTTTTACTTGATTGTTGTAAGTGTTGGAAATACTTACAGCTGAATCCTGGCTATGTTTTTATACTTTTTATTTAAACTGGTATACAGTGTAATATTCTTCATTCTTCCACTGGGTAAGTATATTAGTACTTCAGCAATTCTGTGCTTCGGAACTTTGGCAACGTCGACAATTTCGGAACTTCGGCAATTCGGAAGTATCCGAATGTCCGAATTGCCCGAAATTCGTCCGAATTAACATTTGGAACGAAACGAATTGCACATGTCTAGTCTCAACCCTCTGAATGCAGACACTGAATTTTCCTCATAGAGATGCATTGATTTACACCTTAGTGACCAGACCACTTTTCAATTTTCTTACCGTTAAAGACCAGGGCTCTTTTTACATTTCTGCGGTGTTTGTGTTTAGCTGTAATGTTCCTCTTATTCATTTACTGTACCCACACATACTATATACCATTTTTCTCGCCATTAGTCTTTCTAAAGATACCATTATTTTCATCATATAATTTACTATAAAAACAAATTATAAAATATGATGAAAAAAAAATGTACAAAAAACCACACTTTCAAACTTTGACCCCCAAAATCTGTTACGCATCTACAACCGCCAAAAAACACCCATGCTAAATAGTTTCTAAATTTTGTCCTGAGTTTAGAAATACCATTAACATGTTCTTAGCTTTTTATGTAAAGTTATAGGGCTATAAGTAAAAGTAGCACTTTGCTATTTCCAAACCATTTTCTTTTCAAAATTAACACAAGTTACATTGTAACACTGATATCTGTCTGGAATCCCTGAATAACCCTTCACATGTATATATTTTTTAAAAGAAGACAACCTAAAGTATTAAATTTGGGGCATATTGACTCTTTTCTTTTTTACATTCTTTATTTTTCGGTCTCAGATATGTAACATACAGATCTTGTTATTGCATTGAACATATGCGGATGAACATTCATACAACAGTTAAACATTTAGTTTTTAGCGTTAATCAGTGCTAGGTATATTCATTTCTATTGTGTTGAGATTAGAGCGTATTTCCGTGTTGGCTGTTTGTGTCTGTGTTTGCGAGTATTAGGGTGTATTTATCTTTTTGTTTTTATTTCTGTAGGTGCATGTAGGGTTGGAGCTCGGGTGTAGTTTGCGCTGCCGCGTGAGCGGCACTTGTTAGAATGTCGGTGTCTTCGTTTTGCGTCATGACCTCTTCTCTAGCTACGTTATGTATGAGTTTTGGTTGGAGGTGGGCGTATTTCGGGTCTCGTCTATATAGCTTATTCCCGCAGCCAGGTGTTAGCGTGCATCCCTGTTTGGCTTTTTACTCTTCTGTTTTCTTTACCCTGAGAGCTTAAGTGAGCGTTGTATTCATTCGCGATTTTTTTGTGTACGTTGGGTCGAGTTCTGTGTGTAGGCCGTGTGTGTGATATTGTCTATATATGTTGTCGTGTCATCTCTCTAGGGTTGTTTGTGGCGTCGGGTTGGGTTTATGCTCAATTAGTGGTATCTTGGTCCCTATAGAGTTAGTGTGTCTTCAAGTGTTACTCCCGTTGTTGGTAGTCATTTCGTTTTCCCTTGTGGAGTAATCGCGTCTTACTTCTTGTGTTGTCGTGTTTCCTTTCAGGTGTGGAGGGTGTCTGTTGTGTTAGCTGAAGGTAGGTCAGGGGTCGGTCTGTCTATAAGGTGCCTATGTTAGACGTCTGTTCTGAGGCATCTTGAAGTCCTTTTACCCTGCGTGGAGGGGCTTTGTCTCTATCGGTGGATTTCCCCTTGTTTCTACCCTTTCTCGTGTGTGGCTATGAGAGTCCTAGGTCAGCTAGTCTTTCTACTCCGATCGTGTATGCCTTCTCCTCTCTGACTGTCCTTCCTCTCTATCCGTACGGTCTAGCTGTAATTTTTGTGGAGTGTTTCGGGTGTACATCTCAATTATACGTCTATAGCCCCTGGAGGGGGAGGAGGGTTATGGTCAGGTGTGCGGTTCTGTGAGTTGTGGTGTTTATTGTAGCTGTTCGTAGTCTCATCGTGGAACCTGCGCCACTGCGGCATCTACCCCGCTCCCTCCCGCGCCAGCTCACGTAGCTCTTTTAGACACATAATCCGCCCATGGGATCCATGTCAGAGCACACTTGTCCGAACGTCCCTGCAGTGAGGCCGTCATCATTTCCAGGTTGTAGATTGTTTCCACTGTCTATCCATTGTTGAAAGGAGGGAGTTGTTGGGCTTTTCCACATTGTTGGTATAAGCGTTGTATGGTGAGGCTGTTTTTTTTATTTCTACGGAGGTATGTGTGTGTGATTCAGCAGCATCGCTAGTGGCTGTAATCCCGTGATTTCTTTGATTGTGCGGTGTATCATTTGCCAGTATGGTACAATGTGGGAAAATGTCCACCAGATGTGGAGCCCCTCTTCTGTGTCGCATCTCCAGCATTCTCCTGGCATCGATTTGTGTACATGCCGTAGTACATCCGGGGTCCTATACCAGTGTATTAGTATCTTATAGTTGCACTCTTGGAATTTAGTGCTTATAGATCCTTTGTGTGTCAACTGGAAGATGTTTCCCCATTCAAGGTCAGTTAATTCAACCTCTGTCTCCCTTTCCCATCGCTCCGTGAAGCCTAGTGGGCTCTTATCCCCGTTATTTTGTATTGTGGTGTATAGGAGCGATGCACCATGTGCGAGGTGCTGTGTCGTGCAGATGTGTTCTAGTTGCAGCAGCAGGCGATGTAGGTGATCTTTGCCTTTCACAGCGTTGATGTATGTTTTTATTTGGTGGTAACGGAATTCGTCTAGTCTGTTTGGTCTGCGGTCTTGTAGTAGCTCTGCCAAGGTCTTCAGATTCGGTCCGTTGCACCATTGGCGTATGTGTACCCAATCCGTTGTTCCGAGGTTCCGTAGATCTGCGGAACTAAGTCCTCCTGCCAGTGTCGGGTTGTTAGTTATGGGTGTGAGCGGGTTGGGGGACGTTGTGAGTTTCTTGTTGTATCGCACCCTGCACCAGACCCTCAGAGTGGCATCTATCATTGGATTCCCTGTGCACATGTCTCCTTGTGTAGCTTCACCTAGCTATAGTAGGGCAGGGATCTTCCCCTATGCTTGCTGTAGTTCCATGTGAACCCATTGTTTGGTGCTCGGGTTGGCGTGTCAGTCGACTAGTCGATGAAGGTGCGTTGCTTGATAATACGTGATGGACGGTAGTCCCGTGCCTCCTTCACTATTTGGCCGCTCCAGGGTCGATCTCCGTATGCTCCCGGCTTCTGGTTCCATACGAACCTTCGGATGGTAGTCGTTAACGTCTGAAAGAAGTCTCGTGGGATGGTTGTGGGCAGCGTCTGGAATAGGTATAAGATCTGGGGCATAACGTTCATTTTAATTGCATTTATTCGGCAGAACCATGAGATGTACTGTGTCGTCCATCTCTTTATGTCCTGTTGCAGGGTTACGAGAAGGGGCGCGAAGTTTATTTGCGCGATGTTCTTTGGTAGCCAGACGCCCAGGTAGCGTAGTTTGGTTACGCATATTTTGAATGGGTACTGTGTACGTATGTGTTGTTGGAGGGCGGTATTTCGGGTGAGCGGCAACGCCTCAGATTTATCCAGGTTGAGTTTCAAGTTAGATACCTCGTATTTCCGGAAAGCTTCCAGTAGGTTCGGCGTCGATATCCTGGGTTGTTCTAAGAAGAAAAGCATGTAGTCGGCGTATGCCGCCACCCGGTGTTCCTTTCCGCCTATATGGTGTCCCGTGATTCCCCCATCTTGCTGGACCGCTTCAAGGAAGGGTTCAAGGGTGAGGGCGAATAGAAGGGGAGACAGGGGACAGCCCTGACGCGTCCCATTGCATATGTTAAATGAATCCGTTAGTGCTCCATTGACTCGTATGCGTGCTGATGGTGTGGTGTACAGTGCCACAACCCAGGTCCACAGGTGCGGCCCAAACACCATGTGTCTCAGTGTCTCCGCCATGAAGGTCCAGTCTACCCGATCAAATGCCTTTTCATCGTTGGTGGACGGTAGCACCATGTCCCGGTTGCCAGCCGTGGCTGCGTGTATGATGTTAAGGGCCCGGATGGTATTGTCCCTGGCTTCCCTCTCCGGTATGAATCCGACTTGGTCTGGGTGTACCATGGCTTTGGCAAAGAGTTTTAAGACCGCGTTCAGCAGCGAGATCGGCCGGTAGCTGGCGCAGTTCGTTGGGTCTTTGCTCTCCTTTGGTATGATCGAGACTGTCGCCTTCAGGGTGTCTGTGTGGAATTGACCTCCGGTTCGTATGGAGTTGATGCCCGCCAGGAGTCTGGGTAGCAGGATGTCCTTGAAGATGCGTATGTAGGAGACTGGGAGGCCATCTGGTCCTGGGGCTCTGTGTGGTTTCGTTTGTTTCAGCGCTGCCGCTAGTTCTTCGATCTCCAGGGGCAGTTCTAGGTCGGCTTCCTGTCCCGGGGTAAGCTTACGTTTAACATGGTCCTCTAGGTACGTGGCTTTCCACTCCTGGTGTCTTGCCGCCGGACCTGTTCGGATCTGCACCTGGTTGTAGAGCGTCGTGTAGTAATCCCGGAACGCTTGTAAAATACCCTCAGGGAGTCGTGTAACGCCCCCTCTGGTCGTGTGGATGTGTTGTGTTCTCAGTTTCTCCCTGAGCATCCTTGCGAGCAGTCTGCCACTTATCAGCGTGTTCATAGTAATACCTGGATGTTTTCCTTGCGGTATGGAGTATGCCTTGGGACAATATATCCCTGAGCTCTCTGCGTTTCACGGTAAGGCAGAGGAACGTGGCCTCATCTAACGTGTTCTTGTGATCCCTTTCTAATTCTGCTATTTGTTTCGTCAGGTTAGCGATGTGCATCCTCCGGTGTCTTTTGCGGTTGGTACTAGCTGCAATAAGGTGCCCTCTGATAACACATTTATGTGCCTCCCACAGCGTTAACGGTGGAGTATCTGGGTTGTCGTTAGTGCTAAAATATTCAGTTAAGGCGCTAGTTACCGCGGTAGTGAGCTCTAAGTCATCTAGCAGGGATTCATTCAGTTTCCACTGTGTTTCCCGTGGTTTGTAGAGTGGGGAGCTGGTGCGCACCAGAACTGGCGCGTGGTCGGAAAAGTCCATCGAGCCTATGTCTGCATTAAGCAGTAGGTTTAGATATTCCTGGGCCATGAATATGTAATCTATACGACTGTAGTGTGCGTGGACCGCTGAGTAGTAGGTATAGTCTCGAGCGTCTGGGCGGTATGCCCTCCAGCAGTCCACGAGCCCCGATTTGTGTAAGGATCGTTGCACGTAGACAGTGTGTGGGGATTGTGCTCTGGCCCCTGGAGGTATCTATGTGGGGTTCCATGGGTATTTTTAGGTCTCCGGCCGCCACCAGCAGGCCCTCCCTGAACCTCTCAAGCTTGGCCAGAGTCCGGCTGAAGAAGGTGTGTTTTTTGTTTGGGCCATACAAGCACGCGAAGGTGTATACGCGGTCTGAGATTGTCCCCTTAAGGAAGAGATATCGTCCGTTGGGGTCTGCTAGGGTTTTCGTGCATTGGAATGGTGTCGTGTGGGCGAAAAGGATCGCCACCCCAGCTTTCTTGGCGTCAGTATGGTTTGCGTAGAATCCTAACGGAAAGCGTTGATTTTCCAGTTTGGGTGCATCCCCGCTTCTGAGGTGCGTCTCCTGCAGGAACGCCACGGACGCTTTCGCTGTCCACAGCCGTCGGTGCAAGTGTGAGCACTCTTCTGGCGTATTGAGTCCCTGGACGTTATTGGACCAATATGTCAGCTGCGCAGGGGAAAACCCCTGTCTGGCTACCATCTCGGGGAGGGGGGGCACCCTGTCCGCAGCGGCACTGGCAGGAAAAAAAAAAAAGAGGGGGGGTTGTTGTCGTGTCTGTAGGAGTCAAGGGGTTGCAAGTCAGCGTTTTGCCATGTGCTCCTCCCAGTTTTCTCCCGTCTCCGGTATAACCCGTGATTCACTTAGATAGCGCCCCTCTAGGTTAGTCTGGTTCTAACTAAGCCCGTTTCGTCCTGTTCACCGCCCACTAGTTCTATGTCACCCTCCGTTGGCGTATCCTATGGGTTCCAGCGTGTTGTGCGCTAATGTCTCCACTTGTTATGGCCCATGGTAATTCTGGATTTTTATTTGCCCTTTTTTGGGGCTGAAAAAAATAAGATTTTAGAAGAAAGAAGACATCAAATGGTAAGTCTATATTTTTTTTTTCTTTCAGGTATTTAGACAAGGGTCCCCCCTCATTATTTTTAGGATGAGGGGGGTAGGTAGGGGTAATTTTTTTTTGGGGGGAGGGGGATCACTAGGGGTTTGGGGACCCCTAGTCACCTGGGGGAAGAATTTTTTATTGCCCCAACCCACCATGCAGGCTTGGTTGCCCCGGGAGGACGACAGTAGGTCCCCCCCTTGATATTTAGGGCCCCCACCCACCGTGCAGGGGTGGGGGAGGACAGTAGGTCCCCCCCCCTTATTGGTATTTAGGGCCCCTACCCGCCGCTCAGGGGTGGGGGCCAGGGGGGCAATTTTTTTATTTTTTTTTAACAATGAGCAGCCACAGGCTGCTCACTGTTTAATAGACAGGCCCCTACTCGCGGTATAGCGAGTAGGGGCATAATTTACTAATACTAAGTGACCAGCTTCTATGGAGGCTGGGTCACATGCTGCACTGGTCAATCACAGCCATGCCATTAGTAGGTATGGCTGTGATGGCTTCTAAGGGCACACGAGCCAAACGCTTGTTGATTGGCTGCACTACGGCCTTTCAAAACGCGTCATTAAATCGCCAAACTCCGAACTCCAACGCGAACATACAGTGATTATATCCGTGTTCGGGTCCAGGGTCCAAAAAACGTAATGTTCGGGTTCGCTCAACTCTAGTATCATACTAGTTGTTGAGAGGCAGTCCTGCTGCTACTTACTACCTTAAAAAAAATGCAGCCTTGTATAACTATGCGGGAGAAAGCCCCTCCCCTTGGTTAAAATCATATCTAGCGGGGGGGGCGGGGCCTGGCTGCCAACTGAACAGGACGCACGGTGAGGGAGCTCCTCAACCCTAAAGCATATACATGCTAAAAACACGACAATCTGCCCCACAATCTCACCCAACAAGGACATACCTTGAATTGTAAGCAAACTGGCAGCATTGGGGTGAAAACTCGATGGCAAAACAAGCCCGCGTTGCAGAGGGCGCCTTGCGGCCTACTAATAGACACCGGGCGGGAGACGCGGCCGGTCTCCTGTCCACTACTCGACTCACAAGCAGCTTGGGTCTCGCTTTCCCCCCCTCTGGGCCGGTGGGGGTCATCCCGGTCCCCGCTGGGCTACATGCTAAGGTCCTCCCGGGTCAATGTGAACTGCCCACACGACAAACAAAATGCCGTGCAGAGACACCCAAGATGGCGGCTGCGCCTATGATTCAAACGTGGATGCTACATCCAACCGAACTAACTGAAGCACTAGGTCAATTTGAAACACGACTAGATGCAGCCTTTGGAAAATTCTGGGCCAACCTAATCGAGCTGATGAACCGAGTGCAACGGGCGAGACAGCAGACATTAAACAAGAAGAGGCAAGTGAGACCCCCAAAGGCATACCGACCGCACTAAAGACACACCACGCTCCACTACACCTTCCTGGGCCTAGAGTCACCTGGGGAATACCCCCAAAGCACAGACCACGCAGGCAGGAGGGAACATCGAGACAAAGCCAACATGGTACAGCTCCTGGTGACTTCCCGGTTGGGAACAACTTGGACTCAAAGAAGACCCAAGTTCGTGGCAACAAGGTGCAGGCTCTGGAACAGGCCTGGGGAGTACTTCGCCCTCGACCAACAGCGTGGCTTGCTGCAAGGGACATTGCACGTATGTAATGCAGATGCCCAACCAGGGAATCGGCTAACTTCATGACTCTGGGAGATGGCTGCAGGCCAGGATCAGACCCCAGACAGGGACTCTGACTCAAGACTGCTGACCCAGCGGTATCAAAGCGTATATGTTTTATTTTATAGTGTTTCACTCTACTTTAGGCTTGTTGCCACCTATGCTATCTATCTCTTAAATGCCATGACTAGCAGCCACCTAGCAAGCTAACGTATCGACAGTTAATACTCGAGACTTAAAAACAAAAATGCAGTATGTGCTGATACTGCATGCCACAAAATGTTTAACATGTGTACTTCTCTTTGCTTGCATCTGCTGTTGTGGCAGTACAAGCGTGTTTGTTTAACTATGCACTGCAAAAATATTAAATAAAAAAAAAAATCATATCTAGCTAGCTGAGTGCTTTGAGGCAGTTCAAGTGAAGGCTAGCTACCTCCTAAATCTCTGGCAGGCAAACTAAGGAGACCCTAAGTAAAACCTAAAGCATCCTACCCTTCAATACTATTGCTCCAATCACTATCCACTAAGCAGAATGGGATAATAAATACCAGTATTAGAAAAAGAGTTCAGGCACTCCAATGTCTTCAGGCACCTTTATTAGAACATGTGGAACACTGCAATGTTTCAATTCCCAATGGAGTCTTTGTCTACATAAACCTGAGCTTAAGTCCTCATTCTGTCAAATGGTCTCTGAGGAAGTGGATCTGTAATCCACGAAACGCGCCAGGCGAACTGTTTCACTCTCATCTAAGAGACATTACAAACTGACGAATGCTTACATTAAGGAGAACAATCCTATTTTTAGTTTTTAGCGAACAAACTCATTTGCTAAATAGTTTGCACAAATATCAGGAACGCGTAATACACAGTGGAACGCACGCCAGCTCGGTCATCAGCTTGGCTGCAGTGGGTGGACTGCAGCCCCTATCCCTTGTAGCCATCCCAAAGACCGCAGTACCTGCTTCCACACTGGAATTTATCCCCGATTTGGCTTTTTATCACTTGAAAAATGTGTTGTGTTTTTTTTATTCCCAGTACTTAATCAAGTGTTTAATTATACAGTAAGCACTATAGGGTGTATTTTATGTTTTTAGATATGCTGGTCAATTTCTTAAAAAAATAGCGTGTACGCTGAGGACACCATGTGGACACTTATATTAATGCATATGGTCATTTTTTTGGTATCGTTACAGGTTTCATGTACTTCTTGAATTTATTTTAAAAAAAGTTTTTATTCCCACTACTTCATAAAGTGTTTAATTATACAGTAAGTGTAGCAGATGGCACTGGGCTGTCCTGCAAATGTCTGTGAAAGAAATGCATTCGTGTGATCTGTTAGTTTCCTATGTGTTCTAAAGCCTTGTATTCTTGTGATTGTTCGGTAGTTTCGTTCCCTTAGTTTATTCGAATGAAACTACCGAACAACCAGACCTCCCCTGTGTGAAGTGTGTCCTCAATTACCCGTTGCAACATTGTTGCGAACGGGTAATTGAACAGTAAGTAGCCGTCCTTTGTTCTCGGGGGTGGCCGCCATTCGACAAACGAACACGTGGCGGCGGCCATTTTAAAACTCCCGAACAGCGGTGTTTTAGCCGTCGAGTGTCTGGAACTAAAATCGGACACTCGAGTAGGCGAACACCGCTGAGACCTCCACAGCCCTGGTCCGTTCGGTTCCAAACTACCGAACGGCCCCTCGTTCGGTAGATAGAGAATACCGAACGAGGGGATTCAGGCGAACCCTCCCTAGCCTCTATAGCTAGAGGTTTTCGTGTATTTTATTCCCTTATGCCAGGACCGACCGCAGGGCCCATTCACATGGAACCGAATTCGGCTATCTCAGTTCGTGCGGTCGGTCATTCTATTCCCTCCATACTTTTCCCGAACCCCTGGTCTGATCTGGGTGGTTTTTGGATATGTTGTTCACCCAGATCAGGGCTACCAGGGGATGTAGGATTTAAAGAGGTACCCCTACGTTTAGGGGTACATCCAGAAACGGGGGGAATTGGTGTACTGGATAAGGGGATTATGATGCTGGCTGAGGGGAGGAGATGTGTGGGAGGTTACCAGGACAGGATTGGCTACTGTAATAATTACTGTAATCCCTCCCTTGCATGGGAGCATGCTTTATAAGGAGACTGTGATTAAAGGCTTGTCAGTTCTGCTCCTGAAACTGTGTGTCGTCCAGTTATTGGGATTGCTGTGGGGAGGTTGCTGTTATTTTACCTGCTGGAAACTTTGCCTATGGATTTATTATTTACTTGTTCCTGAGCCTCACTTGGATTATAAGCGGAGACAACCTGGGGAATATTGCATCTCCGCTACATTGGTTGGCAGCGCTGGGATCCAGACTCACAAGGGAACAAGGACTAATGGAATACGGATGGAGAGTGATTATGCCAAGCTTAAAAGATCCACGCCAAAAGATCTCCTGGAAGCGAAAGGCATTGCAGCCAGCAACAAAAAGAAAGCAATCCTCATTGCAGAAGTGATGGCTGAATACCAGCAGGAGGACAGGGTAATCCCTGAGCAACAGAGTGCAGCAGATGAAAAAGAAGAGTTCCGGAGAGAGGTGCAGTTCAGGCTGTCCTTTTATGGAGAGAATCCAACAACGGATATTATATCCAGGACAATGTCAGAGGTACAGGAGTTTATACTGCGCCAAAGGCCACTACAGCAGCTGGAGAGGAATGCTACCACAACTACCATCACACAGGGTAAGACAAAAATTCCTTACCAAGCCTTTAAAACGTATATAGAAGCAGAGGAAGATATAGATGCTTTTCTCCAAGACTTTGAAAGACTGTGTGCCTTGCATAATATTAGCCCAGATGAGTGGGTGCCTATTTTAGCAGGAAAGCTCACAGGGAAGGCGGCGGAAGCCTATAGAACTGTACCTGATGAGGAAATTCGGAATTACCGCCGAGTAAAAGAAGTGATCCTGGCCCGATATGCAATCACGCCAGAGGCATATCGGCGACGGTTTAGAGACCTAAAGAGAAATGACAAGGACTCTCATGTGGAATGGGCTTGCAAGTTGCATCGGGCCGCTCTGGGGTGGGTACAGTCTAATAAGGCTCGGTCCATGGAGGACTTATTGCAAATGGTGTTGTTGGAGCAATTCTATGAGGGGGTAACAGGCGAGGTCCAGGAATGGGTGAGGGACAGAAACCCTACCTCCCTTACCGAAGCTGCTAGGAAGGCCGATGAGTACTTGGATGCACGCAGGCAGCAGAAACCAGCAGCCCCAAAAGCTATTTTTAAAACCTTTGGGGGAAACAGCTACAACCCAGCTCCACCGAGGCAACTACCACCACCCGCTGTACAGCCCCGGTTTCGCCAGCCCGCTTCTGGCCCCTGTCATCACTGCCAGAAGTGGGGACATTATAAAAGGGAATGTCCCCAGCTGAGGAATCGTTCTACGTGGATTCGCCCCGGCCCACCACCACCACCACCGAGAGCAGCCGCCGCCCATCACTACCAAAATATAGTGGCCACACCATATGGGTCAGCTGTTCCCATAACAACCGTGGAACAGTGGGAAGTACTACACGAGGCGGATCCAGTCCAGGCCAATGCTGATAACAGACAACATCACAGGCAGACCGTATACTTGGAGGGTAAAGCAGTACAGGGCCTACGTGATTCGGGGGCTACCATCACCTTGGTCAAAAGTCATCTGGTCTCGGATGAAGCGAGACTAAGTAAAACTGTGGCCGTCAGGGTAGCCGGGGGAGCAGTGTACCGGCTACCTACAGCAAGGGTACATTTACATTGGGGAGCGGGGGCAGGACATGTGGAGGTGGGGTTGATGCCGCAGTTACCGGCGGAGGTTTTATTGGGGAACGATCTGGGGAGGCTCACATCTGCTTTTGAGCCCCAGACGTCCACCACAGGAGAAGCTCATCCTGTGGTCACCCGTCAACAGGCCCGCACCCAGGACTACAACACACTTCCGGAGGTTCAGGTAAGAGACCCTTCCCCTTCCCTTGACTGTGTCCCCTGGGCCCCTCCGAACGAATTCGCAGCAGAGGTAGTGACTGACCCCACCTTGCAGGTATACAGAGACAAGGTGACAGCAGACCCTCCGGAGGGAGGGGGGGAGAGATTTGTCTGGGACAAGCAGCTTTTGTACCGGGAGACAGACAAGCAGATTGAGGGGTCAGACCCAATAGTGACGAGGCAGCTAGTGGTGCCGCAGCGGTACCGAGCAGAGCTACTCCGGATAGCGCACGATATCCCGCTATCCGGACATCTAGGGGTCAGCCGTACTAGGTATCGACTGACCCAAAATTTCTTCTGGCCAGGGATCAGCCAGGAAGTGCGCCGGTATTGCACCACCTGCGACACCTGCCAGAGGGTAGGGAAAAGGGGAGACCGGAGGAAGGCGAAGCTACACCCCTTGCCAATAATTGAGGAACCGTTTAGCAGAATAGCGGTAGACTTGATAGGTCCCCTCAAGAAAGCCAGCCCGTCAGGCAAAAGGTACATTTTAACGGTAGTAGACTATGCTACCAGATATCCAGAGGCGGTGGCTCTGACCAACATTCAGGCTGAAACGGTCGCGGATGCCCTCATGCAGATATTCTCCCGGTTGGGATTACCCAGGGAGATTATCTCGGATCAGGGTACCCAATTTACCGCAGAATTCACCCAACACCTCTGGAGGATCTGTGGCATTAAGCCTATTATCAGTGCCCCTTACCACCCCCAGACTAATGGGCTCTGCGAACGGTTCAATGGCACATTGAAACAAATGCTCCGAACCTTCGCAGAGACCCACAAGGACTGGGAGCGGTTCCTGCCGCATCTCCTATTCGCTTACCGGGAGGTGCCGCAGGAATCCACGGGGTTCTCCCCGTTTGAACTGCTGTTTGGGAGGAGGGTCAGAGGCCCCTTAGATCTTATAAGAGAGCATTGGGAGGGAGACCGGAGCGCAGATGGCACCCCCATCATACCTTATGTGTTGGCTCTCCGAGACCGCCTGGAAGCCTTAACCAGGACGGTAAGGGAAAACCTTCAGGCGGCACAGACTCGCCAGCGCACATGGTATGATCGGGGAGCCAGGGACCGTAGCTTTCAGGTCGGGCAGAAAGTGCTGATTTTAAAGCCTGTCCGACATGACAAGCTACAGGCCGCCTGGCAGGGACCTTATAAGGTGGTGGAACAGAGATGTGACACCACCTATATAATTGGCTCCTGTACAGGGACGGGAGGGCGACGCATGCTCCATGTGAACATGATGAAGCCCTACCAAGCACGCTCCGAGGAGGTAACCGCCATATGCGCGCCCAATTCAGATGAGTCTGACAGCTTACCACTCCCAGATCTGCTGGAAGATGGGCAGATGTCTGGGGATTTAGGGGAAGTCACACTGGGAGACCGGCTGAGCCCACAGGAGCGCATCGAGGTACGGCAGCTGTTGGAAGAGAAACGAGACACGTTCTCCAACGTACCTGGGTACACCCCTCTGGCCACTCACCGGGTAGAGACCCCAGGGCAATTACCGATGCGTCAGACCCCCTACCGCATCCCCGAAGCGGTAAGGGAAAACATGCGCAAGGAGATCGATGAGATGCTCCAACTGGGGGTAATTGAGCCCTCAGATAGTCCCTGGGCTTCTCCGGTAGTACTCGTACCGAAGCGGGACGGTACGACCCGCTTCTGCGTAGACTACCGGAGATTAAACGAGAAAACGGTGTCCGATGCATACCCTATGCCACGGATAGATGAGCTACTGGACAGAATGGCCAGGGGTCAATACCTCACTACCATTGACTTATGTAAGGGGTATTGGCAAATCCCCCTGGCCCCAGAGGCCATCCCGAAAGTCGGCCTTTGTCACCCCATTTGGCTTATACCAGTTTAAGGTCATGCCATTTGGGATGAAAAACGCCCCAGCTACTTTCCAGCGGATGGTAGACCGACTCCTGGATGGGTTCCAAGACTACACCTGTGCCTACCTGGACGATATTGCCATTTTTAGCAATACGTGGCAGGAGCACTTGGCCCATATAGGAGCGGTTCTAGACAGGATTAAGGAAGCTGGTTTGACATTGAAACCGGCCAAGTGCAGCATAGGGATGGCCGAGGTGAAGTACCTCGGACATAGGGTGGGTTGCGGCAAACAGAAGCCCGAACCTGCCAAGGTAGAAGCCGTGGCCCAGTGGCCCACTCCTAGGACTAAAACCCAGGTGTTAGCCTTTCTAGGGACCGCTGGGTATTACAGGAAGTTTGTCCCTAACTATAGCGCCCTCGCCAAACCTCTCACTGACCTTACTCGGAAGAATTTGCCCCGCCAGGTGACCTGGACCGCGGAGTGTGAGCAGGCATTCCAACATCTCAAAAATGCACTGATAAACGCTCCTGTCTTGGCAGCTCCCAATCCAACTAAACGTTTTCTTGTTCACACAGACGCTTCTATGTTTGGATTGGGAGCAGTACTGAGCCAAGTCGGAGCCGATGGCGGAGAACACCCCGTGGCTTACATCAGTCGCAAGCTGTTACCCAGAGAAGTAAGCTACGCCGCCATCGAGAAGGAATGCCTGGCTGTGGTGTGGGCCTTAAAGAAACTACAGCCGTATCTATATGGACAGCCTTTTTCGTTACTCACGGATCACAACCCGTTGGTCTGGCTAAACCGGGTGGCTGGGGACAATGCCAGGCTGCTGCGCTGGAGTTTGGCGCTGCAGCCTTTTGACTTTAATATTCAGTACCGCCCGGGTAAACAGAATGGGAATGCCGACGGGTTGTCAAGACAAACTGACCTGGAGAAATGATCCGTGAGTCCCCGGACATCCCCAAGCCGATCCGTGTTGGATCAGACTGTGTATGCCGGCTTGTGGGCAAGGGGGAGCAGTGTAGCAGATGGCACTGGGCTGTCCTGCAAATGTCTGTGAAAGAAATGCATTCGTGTGATCTGTTAGTTTCCTATGTGTTCTAAAGCCTTGTATTCTTGTGATTGTTCGGTAGTTTCGTTCCCTTAGTTTATTCGAATGAAACTACCGAACAACCAGACCTCCCCTGTGTGAAGTGTGTCCTCAATTACCCGTTGCAACATTGTTGCGAACGGGTAATTGAACAGTAAGTAGCCGTCCTTTGTTCTCGGGGGTGGCCGCCATTCGACAAACGAACACGTGGCGGCGGCCATTTTAAAACTCCCGAACAGCGGTGTTTTGCCGTCGAGTGTCTGGAACTAAAATCGGACACTCGAGTAGGCGAACACCGCTGAGACCTCCACAGCCCTGGTCCGTTCGGTTCCAAACTACCGAACGGCCCCTCGTTCGGTAGATAGAGAATACCGAACGAGGGGATTCAGGCGAACCCTCCCTAGCCTCTATAGCTAGAGGTTTTCGTGTATTTTATTCCCTTATGCCAGGACCGACCGCAGGGCCCATTCACATGGAACCGAATTCGGCTATCTCAGTTCGTGCGGTCGGTCATTCTATTCCCTCCATACTTTTCCCGAACCCCTGGTCTGATCTGGGTGGTTTTTGGATATGTTGTTCACCCAGATCAGGGCTACCAGGGGATGTAGGATTTAAAGAGGTACCCCTACGTTTAGGGGTACATCCAGAAACGGGGGGAATTGGTGTACTGGATAAGGGGATTATGATGCTGGCTGAGGGGAGGAGATGTGTGGGAGGTTACCAGGACAGGATTGGCTACTGTAATAATTACTGTAATCCCTCCCTTGCATGGGAGCATGCTTTATAAGGAGACTGTGATTAAAGGCTTGTCAGTTCTGCTCCTGAAACTGTGTGTCGTCCAGTTATTGGGATTGCTGTGGGGAGGTTGCTGTTATTTTACCTGCTGGAAACTTTGCCTATGGATTTATTATTTACTTGTTCCTGAGCCTCACTTGGATTATAAGCGGAGACAACCTGGGGAATATTGCATCTCCGCTACAGTAAGCACTATGGATTGTATTCTATGTTTTTAGATATGCTGAGGCACATGGTCAATTCCTTAAAAGACAGATTGTCTGTCACAATTTTAAGGTACGCGGAGGCCACCAAGTGGGCACATATTACTACATATGGCCATTTTTTTTTTTTATTTGACTAAATTACAGGTTTCATGTACTTACCTGTTTAATTGTATTTATTATTCTAAGTACTAGATCAACTTAGCAAACAAGCCAAGATTCAGCAACCATTCTCCCCTTGATATTTGTGATGCAGCAGCCCCATTGAATCCAACAACACCCACACTTGATTTGCTATATTTGGACTTTATGGTACTTGGACTCCAATATGTATTTGGATTTTTTTTCTAATCTTTTTATTTATCCTATTTTAGCTTTAGATTTTATTTATAATTTTACACTCTACTCTTCAATTCTGTCCCCCACTCCCCAATCATAAAATAGATGATTTTATTTCACTATATACCAACTGCCACTTTTTTTTTTATTATTTTATCTCTTTCATACTCTAAATACTAGCTCCTGGATATTACACTAACTTTAAGCACTTAAATTGCTTTATTACCAATAGAACCCATGAATATTCTTCTTTCCCAGCTGGCATCAAAATTTTCTATCCCTCGCCTTTTGACTTTTTTTTTTTTTTCCTTTCTTCCTTCTGGTTCCATGTAATTCAATCTTCCAGGATGTTTCATTGTAGAGGGCGCATTGTGGCTTTTGCCCAATTTACTACTGGAATAGCAACAAGTCATAAGACCAAGGAGACTCTCGTTGCTTCTCTTTTGGTGCAAATGTTCATCTTTTCCAATGAAAGAAGAGCTCTCAAACTTTTATATCTTCTCTGGAGGAAGAGATTTTATTTTTATCTAAATAGAGGAAGTCTTTAGAAGCCAATCGTTCAGATACGGATGATGCATGGAATCCACTACAGAATCTGAACAAGACTCCGAGCTAGATTCGGGTTTCCATTCCACCACTGTACTCCCAGCAGTGCTTAAAGACACATTCTTGTCCACTCTGGCACCAAGCATCAACTTAGAAGCCCCCCACCCCAGTACAAGAACCTAGCAAAGCAGCGAAAACCCAGTAAATAAATACAAAAGCCAAGTAACTGCCAGAAATTATTTTAATAAATAGTGTGGGAAATACGTGCATTCCCTCTAATCCTAAGGAAAAATAACTATGTTAAGTTAAATCTGAACTTTTCCCTCCAGATTAGAGGTAGTGCACAACAACTGGGATAAAACAAGCCATCCCTTAAGGGGGGGTAAAAATCTCACTTCACCACAGCTTTCAACACCTTACGCCCAAAAACAGAATCCTCAAGAGGCCTGTACGTCTAACCGACAATGCCTGTAGAAGGTATGAAGGGAGGACCAAGTTGCTGCATTGCATATTTGGGAAGGCGATGATGAAGCTCTTAAAGCCCATGAAGAAGCAACACCTCTGGTAGAATGATCCCACAGTTTCAGAGGAGGAGATGTATGCCAGTACAATAGATTCCTTAATATTACTTGCTAATAAAGTCTTCGAAGCCATAAGATTCCTGTTTTTCCCCTGGAAAAGGATGAACAGCCTGTCAGATTTACAAAATGAATAGATTCCTCCATGTAGAAATGTAGGCAGTGTTTAACATCCAGGCAATGGAATTTAGGCTCTGTCAGGTTTTGTGGGTTCTGACAAAATGTGGGCAGAACAATTTCTTGATTCATATTAAATGAATTAGTCACCTTAGCAAAAAAGGAGGGATGAAGTTTCAGAACTACTATCCAAATGAAAAACCAGGAAAGGTGGAGAAAAGGCCAAAGCCTGAAGTTCCCTCAGGCGTTTTGAAGAACTATCCGCAACCAACAACACTGTTTTTAAAGTGAGAATCTTTAGACTGACTGAATCCAAGGGTTTAAAAGGAGGTTCATACAAAGCGGACAGAACAATGTTTAAATCCCATGAAGGAACCAGTTCCCGGATGGTAGGAAGCAGTCTAGAAATTGCTTTAAAAAAACAAAAACCTGAAGATAAGAGCATCTGAAGCCAAGTCTCGAATACTAAAAAAAAACGAATAGCCGAGATATGTACTTTAAGGGTAGCAGGATGGAAGCCTTTAGCAAATCCTAGTTGAAGGAATTTCAAAATCTGAGGAACAGAGGCAGACAGGGGATGAACCCCCACACCAAGACACCACAAGCAAAATGTCTTCCAGATTCTAGGTGTAAACCGTAGAAGTGGAATCTTTCTTAGCAGCTAAAAGGATATCGATCACTTCAGGAACAAAGGAACTTGCTTGGAGGAAAGTTGAGAAATTCTATCATGTATCCGTTTTGGATTACTGACAGGAGCCAGGTGTCTGTAGTAGTCTTCTGCCAGGTTGAAAAGAAATGCAGAAGTCTGCCAACAACAGGCATGATGTCAAAATCTACGTTATTTTTCTCCGGAAAATTCCTTTTTACTTTCTCTTGACCGGAAAATGGTCTTCTTTGAATTCTCTTGTATGAGAACCTTTGAAAGGAATCTCTATAGGACTGTTTGTTTCTGTAGGAAAAAAGGTCTGCTTCCTGAAAATCTTTTCTTTCCTTCAGGCAAGGCCTTGTTACCTTCCGGCATACTCTTTAGTAGGTCATATAGTTGCAACCCAAATAGTGTACCCTGCTCAAAAGGAAGGTCACACAACAAATTCTTCGAAGCAGAGTCAGCGGACCAACTTCTCACCCATACTGCACCTCTGGTTACATTAGCAAGCCCCATCGTTTTAGCTGAAAGCTTTGGTGCCTCTGATGACGAGTCGGACAAAAAAAACCCTGCAATCATCCTGATATTCCTCAAACGTTTAATGGGATCCTCCTTAGAATCCCCCAGATAAACTTTCTCTAAGTTGTCTAGCAAGCATCTTTGGGCTTTAGCCACTGAAATAAGAGGCTTACTTTGGGCTGCTGCAGTGAAAAAAATTTTTTTTAAAGAAGTCTGTGCCATCTTATCCATCACATCCTGGAGACCACTCGAAACTCCAATAGGAAGAGATTTTTTTCCCCCATTTTGGGTAATAAGAACATGCACCTTTGGTAAAACTACTAGCTGTGCCATAGGTTCTTCTTTAACCGCAAAAATGGTCTTTAAATGCTTAGATATGAATGTCTTTCTTGCAGAAAATTTCCATTCCTTTAACATAAGCTGTTGAATAGATGAATGAATGGGAAAATATTTGTTTTCTCTTTTCCTGAAGAGGATTGTTTCAAATCCATGAGGCTATGAATGTCTAATGAGTTTAGACAGGTACTGCTCCTGAAAGCATTTTTCCTCGTCAGAGGAATCACTAGATTCTTCAGAAGAATAGGCATTAGAAGAGGATTCAAAGCTCATATCTGGAACCTCTAAACATGCCCTCTTTTTAGAGGGATGAGAACTTGGTTGAACTGAAGACTGAGCTGATAGCAAAGCGGCCTCTCTTAAGTCAACAAAGGTCTGTTGTAAGCTGCTCTGGAACCATGTCATGAAGGATGAGACTTCCACTTTTTTGGTTTCGTCTGAAGCTTCCTTAGCACAAATACCACAGGTTTTTTTTTATACCAGTCTGGTAAAAGTTGAGTACAGGAGGAACATATAAAATGCCTTGTTTTAACCATGCATTTTCCTTTTTCTCAAGGCTAGACATACTAGAGAAAGACAATAATAATGTAATTTATTGTTGGATAAAGTAAAAATTGAATCAGGAAAGAGAACATTAAGGGATTAACTAAAAAGTCTTACCTTAATGGCCGCTAAGTGTGCTGGAGGGCAGGTGAGAGCACACTGCAACAGAGACTGCAGGCACCTGGCAAGCAGGAAGTTGCAGCTGGGTTATATAGGGCTACCAGGTCCTAGTTCTCAAATGGGAGGAAGAAGAAGAAAAAAAAAAAAAAAAAGTTCTCTTTAAATTTCTCACCTGAATCTAGACGATCGTTTCCCGATGGAACGCAACACAACCTGGACAATGTGTTACATCCTAGGACCTCCCAGCATGTGCGCTATGCGCACCCTCGCCATTTCTGGCTCAGATGTTAGACGGTATAAAGCGTGGTGGAAGGCAGGCGCCCAGCTTGCTTTCCAGCTCTAAGGAAATAAGTTCTGCTTCTTCCCCTGAAGGAAGGACAGAGCCCACCTTGGTTCACACAGACTCACCTTTGTCCTGCAAATAAGTCACCAATCTACCCTGCAGAAGGCAGGCAGAGAAATGGGGTTTTGCTGCCTTGCTGGGTTCTTGCACCTATGGGAGAAAGAGTCAAGGAGTGTTTGAATTTTTTTTAGGTACCCTGCTTGTCTTTCCGATCCAGATTAGAGGAAATCCCAGTTTTTGTGCACTGAATAGATTGCCAGGCTATCTGAAAAAAAATGTAAATACAGAAAAGCAAAATAACTTTGGTAATTACTAAATGCACGAAGATAAAATAAAACAGTTTGTGTTAGTTTACAACCATAAACTCTGAATACTATTGTGAATAGAATTATTCATAAAACAAGTGAACAGCAGGGAGGCTCCACGGCACTCTTCAGGGAAAATACGACGTTGTACGGCAAGAGGTAAAATATTTTGTTGGATATATTTCAACATAGGACCGCAAAGAATGAAATGTTCTGTGTTTGAGTTGAGGATATATCATAATACAGCAGCGACATCAGGATTGTAAGAGTAATACACATTACATTGATAAAAGAAATTTGAAAAAAAGGATAAATTAAAGGGACACTATAGTCACCCAGACTACTTCAGCTCAATGAAGTGGTCTGGGTGCTAGGTCCCTCAGGTTTTAACCCATCAGATGCAAACACAGCAGTTTCAGAGAAGCTGTTATGTTTACATTTGGGGTTAAGCCAGCCTCTAGTGGACAGCCACTAGAGGCGCATCTGCGACGCTGGAGGCATATTATGCCTCCATCGCGTAGAGCGTCCATAGGAAAGCATTGACAAATGCTTTCCTATGGACACTTTGAATGCACGCGCGCTCCTGCGACGACGGCCGGGGGAGCTGACGTCGGAGTGGGAGGAGAGGTCACCAGCGCCGAGGGAGCCCAGCGCTGGAATAAGGTAAGCTGCTGGGGGTGGGGGCACCATAGTGTCAGGAAAACCGCTTTGTTTTCCTGACACTATAGTGATCCTTTAAAAAAAAAAATATTATATATATATATATATATATATATATATATATATATATATATATATATATATATATATATATATATATATATATATATATAATAATAATAATAGTTCAGTGACCAACAGGTCATATACCTGATAGAGTGGTATAGGAAAAGAGATATCCTTTGACCAGGATTGGTCGGCAGGACACATGGAACCAAGACAAGTGGAATAAGTTTTCCTCTGTTGTATTATCGCCCCTTTCTTTCCAATTCCTGCATGCGGAACTTCTATATTTATTCAACAAAGAAATTACCCCACAGGGGTGTAATGACATAGAAACCAAATGAGAAAAGAAAAAAGGGGAAGGTGGAGATGGTGCCATGGTGATGAGATTGTCCAACAGCTCTATTTACTTAGAACAAGTCCATTTGGATTCACATGTTCTTTCCATATAGACCATTTTTTGTGAAAAGGTGGGATCTCTCAGTCTGGCAATGAGCAGATTGATTATTTTATTGTCTACTATCAATGCTTTCACCTCCCTGAGAGTGGATACTTCTTGTTTGAGCCAGTTAGTCGCCTAGCATGGCTATTTTTCAATTCAAGTTTATAAAATAGCACTACCTGAGATAATTGCTAACCTAATTGCTATGATTCTAATCCTTGCATATGTGATTTTGCTGCTCACCTCCACTTACACCAAAATAGGTTCACAATATCTTGGTTAGAAAACACATTAGAAGCTCCAGAAGAAGAGACATGAGGGACCACAAAAATGGTACTTTCCCTGTGCCTTTCCAAATGCACTATTTAATACAAAGTATGAAAAAGAAACTACTCTCCATATGACTGTATTATAACAGTAAACCTGTGTTTTCATGTATACATCATGAAGCAGCCATGTAGCATGATTTTTACTTTGGGAATGCTGCTGAAAATTTCACAAACTGACATAAATCCTGCAAATATGCACAAACTAAATCAGCTCTCCACGACGTTCACATATATTTGTGTTTTCCCCCAAAAAACATTTAACCTTAGTGATTTGTTTTACTGTGCAATATTGGCCACTTTATGAACACGTTTACGGCTTTTAACTAGTTGCTAAACTAGTCAAAATGGCAAGATTTGAATAAACCAACGAAATCCAGTTAACCACTTTTGAATTTTAGATGTTTGTCGTTTTTTTACTTCCAAATTTATCATCACCATTTGATACAGGTATTGAATTCTCCCTAATTGCACAAATGTCTTTAATAAACCGAAAGCCATTCCATTAATGATATAAAATTGTGATTATTTATTTCAAAGACAAGCATTATACCCCTTAGAGTAAGAGTTCAATGTCCGATAACACACGTTTAGAGAAAGTGTTAGAGTGGATGCCATTGTTTAGACATACCACTGAAAACCATACTTCTTCTTTATCAGTTCTTCCTTTGGTTGAAGACTGTACAGCTCATTGAGAGTTGGGGTAACCCAGCGGTCTGTGTGGAAAGGGGACTCTCCAACCTACAAGACAAAAATCATAACACTTCAAAGTAAAGGAACGGAAAGGGAACAGAAATAAAGCATAATTAAATGCAGGCCTGTTATCATTGGGTGTATATCTATAAGAAAGTGATTTTAATTTGGGCAGTGGAGTGTCCCTTTAGGGTATTTAACACCTTAAGGACCAAACTTCTGGAATAAAAGGGAATCATGACATGTCAGACAGGTCATGTGTCCTTAAGGGGTTAAGCATTGAACATTTCCTTTAGCTTATCGTGATCTAACCAATCCAAAAAAAAAAAGTCTACATAGCCGGAGAACAAAAGTAAAACAAACAAGAACTCCAAGGCATCAACACTCACTTAAAGGGACACTATAGTCACCAGAACAACTACAACGTATTGAATTTGTTCTGGTGAGTAGAATCATTACCTTCATGCTTTTTGCGGTAAACACTGTCTTTTCAGAGAAAATGCAGTGTTTACCTTACAGCCTAGTGATAACTTCACTGGCCACTCCTTAGATGGCTGTTAGAGATCCTTCCTGGGACATGGCTGCCTAAAATGCATCCAAATATTCAGTATCTCCTTCCTCTGCATTCAGACACTGAACTTTCCTTAGAGATTCACGGATTCAATTTATCTGTGTTTGAATCATGCTGGCTCTGCCCCTAAACTACCTCTTTGTCAGTCTCAGCCAATCCTATGGGGAAGCATTGTGATTGGATCAGGCCACCACTTCTGCTGATGTCAGCAGGCAGTGAGCAGGTCTAAAGGAAACCATGACAAAGCCAGTAGCTTCAGGCTTGAATACAAGTAAGATTTTACTATTTTAAGGAGGCATGAGGGGACCAGGGTGGCTAGATGGTGGTTTTAACACTATAGTGTCAGGAACACATGTTTGTGTTCCTGACCCTATAGTGATCTTTTAATATATGTACAATGTTTTTCAACATTCAAATTTAAATATATAGTTTTAAAATACAATTGATTTTTAAACACTTTACAACAATAATTAGTTAACAACAATAACTGGAACTAGATCACCACTCCACCACCGATTTGTAGTGCCCTGCAGATAATGGATATGAACACAATTCCCATAATCCTTTTCATGGTGATGCCAATGCATCAGTCATTGCTAAAAAATTCACGAGCCATGTCAGCATATAATTTTATGAGGTTGCAACATTGTGTCCACATCATTTAATGCGTTTAATTTCATAGACAACCATGGTTATAGTTGTAGGAAGTCAAAGTTGATGGAACCATCACCCCTTACCTTCCATCCTGGTACATCTTTCATTATAATGGCCTCTTCTTCCAAATTCTGCCTCAACTGTCGTAAGATACTGTAGAAGAAAAGAACACTTTTTTTTATTTATACATATACACACTAAGATATAGGAGCACATAATTGTGTACACTTTTTATGGTTACTCGCTATCCTTTCTATTACTCTCTTCTGCTTGATAAACTCTTTTTGAAAACTATAGACATATTGTGAATTAACAAGGATGTTCACTAAACACAGGATTTTCACAAATAATATACTAAAGTGGCACCATCACCTCGAACTTGTCTTTCTCCAATTGTTTCCACTTCTCTTCCTCTTTCGGAACCGGTCTTTCTTTTCTGATCTATTTCTCTTTAAAACAGACTTTGTCTTGTGTTTTTTTCCCCTACTTGATAAAGACTTGGCAATTGTGATAAAAGGTTGAGCTTAAAGTAACACTATCTTAATGAAGCAGTTTACATGTATAGATCCTGCTCCAGCAGTCTCATTGCTCAATTCTTGTCTATTTAGGAGTTAAATCAAATAACTTTAGTGACTGCCCTAGCCACACCTCCTCTAGCTGTGACTCACACAGCCTGCATGAATACAAAAAATGGTATCATCAGATGTTAACTTACTTTAAAAGTTTTGATCTCCTGCTTTGTAAATTACACACAAAAGGGTACCTGCAAGGTCTAGCAGGCTACTAGCACTGAAGGAGATAAATGCTAAATTAAACAGAATTAAAGGAAGTTTAAACACTAGATCTACCTTTACAGGAAGTGTGGAAGTGTTTAGGGAGGCTGCATAAGACACATGCAGGGTGACTAGGGCGGTATAAAAGAGATTTAACAGAAAAGCAGAGAGTTGAGTAGTTAGACTGCAGTGGCTTGATCTATATACCAAAACTGCTTTGCTAAGATAGTTGTTTTTGTGATTATATTGTCCCTTTAAGGCATTAAGCAAGCTCCACTTCCTTTTGTTAAGATATTGGAGCTTGCCTTAAGCTCCACCCTTTCTCATTATTGTCAAGAGAAATAGATCAGAAAATGAAGAGAAAAAAAAACAAAAAAAGGATTCTGAATGAGAACGAGAAGAGGAAACAATAAGGAAAGGTTTGAGGTGGCAGAGGGCATTAAGTTCCCCACGTCAACGACAGAGAAGAAGCATGAACCAGCGCAGCAGAACATTTCAATACACTGTAAGTTACCCAGTTGCTCAACTATTATTTTACTGAAGTGTTACACTACGAGAGTTTTCTTTTCCTCTTATCGTCATTTTAGGATATTACCATATTTAGAGATCTACTATATTTTTTTATGATATTGTAACAACTGTGTGCGCTTTTCGCCTGGTTTTGTTTGTTTGGTATTGTGTAGGGAGTTTAAAGTGGACACTGGGTTATTTGAAGTATCAATAGCACTCATTGACTCATTGTTTCTGTATAATCTGATGTGTAATCCAGAATCATTCCCAGAAGAGTTATTTTTCTTGATGGAAAGGGATTGGACTTCTTGAAATTGGTAAACTCTGCATGCATTACATTAATAAAGTTTGCCTCCTGCTGCATGGCCACCTGGCTTGGCCTTTCCTGAAAACTGGTGACCCAACTGCCCTTGGTGTCTGCCCCACCTGACAGAAGCAAAGGAAATATGGGTAAGAGAGATAATACTCAGTTTAACCCCTTAAGTACCAAACTTCTGGAATAAAAGGGAATCATGACATTTTCACACGTCATGTGTCCTTAAAGGACCACTATAGTGCCAGGAAAACATACTCGTTTTCCTGGCACTATAGTGCCCTGAGGGTGCTCCCACCCTCAGGGTCCCCCTCCCGCCCGGCTCTGGAAGGGGGAAAGGGGTAAAAACTTACCTTTTTTCCAGCGCTGGGCGGAGAGCTCTCCTCCTCCTCTCCGCCTCCGTTACGCCCCGCCGGCTGAATGCGCACGCGCGGCAAGAGCTGCGCGCGCATTCAGCCGGTCTCATAGGAAAGCATTTACAATGCTTTCCTATGGACGCTTGCGTGCTCTCACTGTGATTTTCACAGTGAGAAGCACGCAAGCGCCTCTAGTGGCCGTCAATGAGACAGCCACTAGAGGATTAGGGGGAAGGCTTAACCCATTCATAATTATAGCAGTTTCTCTGAAACTGCTATAATTATGAAAAAATGGGTTAACCCTAGAAGGACCTGGCACCCAGACCACTTCATTAAGCTGAGGTGGTCTGGGTGCCTAGAGTGGTCCTTTAAGGAGTTAAACAAATGAAAGCGCAATGGCCATGCCATGCAAATATGTTTAACAATTTCAAAAAGTCCAATCTATTTAGAGGTTTGAAATGTAATGTATAGTTAAGGGTGACACTACAGTCACCAAAACAACTTTAGCTTAATGAAGCAGTTTTGGTGTATAGATCATGCCCCGGCAATCTCACTGCTCAATTCTCTGCCATTTAGGAGTTAAATCAATTTGCTTATGCAGCGGTGGTCATACCTCCCAGCCAGTAACATGCACAGCCTTCCTCAACACTTCACTTAAAGAGACATCTAATGTTTAAACTTCGTTTATTGACCATTCTGTTTGATTAAAAATGTATTATCGCCTGCACTGTTAATAGCTTTCAAGACCTTGCAGGAGCCTCCTGTTTGTGATTATAGTTGAATTTACAAAAAAGGAGATACAAACTTAATTTAACATTTGATTGAAATTAAACCATTTCATTTCTTGCAGGCTGTGAGTCACAGCCAGGGGAGGTTTGGCTACTGCTGCATGTACAGAAAAAAATCAAAAAAAAATTAACTCCTAAATGGCAGAGAATTGAGCAGTGAGACAACAGGGGCATGATCTATACGAAAAAAAAGTGTTTTATTAAGTTGTTTTGGTAACTATTTACGAACTCACTTTATCAATAGTAAATAATTAAAATACTTGCCGTCTGTCTGTTTCTGCCTGGAGGAGAGGAAGAATAGCAATACGAGCCTCTAAATCTTCAATCTGCAGCCTCCTAGAAAATAAATACAACACTTTCACTTTCAGTGTTCTGATACACACATTTAAATTGAAACTCTGCAAGGTTATTTCCTCTTCAGTATATTATCTGTATGTAGTTTTTAGATAAACCAGTAAATAAAGCACAAGGATGTAAATCATATTTTATGTTGCTGGATCATAATGTAGGGAGGTGTAGGCAGAGAAATATATGTATACATGCGAATGCATTTTCGGAGATGATCAACCACAACACAAAGTAGAAAATAAGATGAAGAAAAGAAGCAAGAAAGACATAATAAGAAAACCATTCCGTGATAGAGAAAAGAGCTATGAAATGGAAAATGCTGAAACAGAAATAAAAGCTGGGAAAAGTATAAACTCACTTCTAGCTAAGTATTTTATTTTTTTCATTAAACTGTACAAAACATGTATTGTAAGAGGTTATAAGTATTTAATACATATACCTTCTTTCTCTATTCCAGCGGAAGAGGCGCCAGTAGCCAAATAGCATGACACCAATACCCAAAGCAAACATAGAATACCCTAGAAATAGAGAGAGAGACCAGTTAAGACTGTAAGCTCTTAAAGCGGCACAGTGCCAGCCTGGGGACAAGATCCCTCATGGTGACATCGCAGCTGGTGGTCCAGTGGCTGGGTGAAGCACAAAAAGGTCAGTTTTACTTACCTAAACCTGTCCCTCGCAGATATCCTCTACCGGCAGGTCCTCCTCTAAACATTTCGCTCATGTGCGGATTACAGCAGACACGTCTATGGAAGCTACCAGAAGACTGCTGACGGCTGGAAATTTGACACTTCTGGTCACCGGTAGCTCCGCCCAGTGTCAAGTAATGTCAGGCGTAGCAAAAATACTGAGACAAACTAGTCCTCACTTTGTCTCATTTATTTTGACTGGGTTGTTATTTCAGTGAAATCCCAACACAGTAACTACAAGTATTTCATAAAGATTACGTCATCTTTCTAAAATATTTATTTTCCAAGGGAGCGTGTGTTTGTGACAGTGCCGTTTTAAGTCTGGAGGAGAAGGCACTGCTAATACTTGGGTGAATCTGTATTGTTCATCTATTCAGTTGGTCACTAAATAACAAAGCATAATTCTATTGTACAAAAAAAGACACCACATCTCTAAGCCCAAATTCGAGACTGTGTAAAGGGTCTACTATTAAAGGACCACTATAGTGCCAGGAAAACAAACTTGTTTTCCTGGCACTATAGTGCCCTGAGGGTGCCCCCAACCTCAGGCTGAAGGGGGTTAAACACTCACCTTTCTCCCTCGGCGCTGGGGACTCTCCTCCTCCTTCGGTCTTCATCGGCTGAACGCGCATCCGCGGCAAGAGCCGCGCGCACATTCAGCCAGTCCATAGGAAAGCATTCTCAATGCTTTCCAATGGACGCTGGCATCTTCTCACTGTGAAAATCACAGTGAGAAGCGCAGAAGCACCTCTAGCGGCTGTCAATGAGACAGCCACTAGAGGCTGGATTAACCCTCAGTGTAAACATAGCAGATTCTCTGAAACTGCTATGTTTACAGCAAAAAGGGTTAATCCTAGATGGACCTGGCACCCAGACCACTTCATTGAGCTGCAGTGGTCTGGGTGCCTAATATCCAGAGATTAGATTTACAATGAGGCTGTCAATGGAGGAAGCAGAAAGAGGCTCCTCCATTAATGTACTGACACTCTATCCCACCACTCATCACAGGCTGAGCCCCTGCCTCCCATGTAGCCGGCTCAGAGATTTCCCTTATTCCAATGATCAGCAGCAGACACTGTGCAGCCCTCTCACAGTAACCCGCATGTCACATGCTATTAGGACCTGGCTATAAAGCTCCTCCTCCCTCTCATCTCTCACCGCTCAGACCACGGCGGGGAAGGTTTCTTTTGTAATCCACCGGTCCATAACCCCCCGGCGGAGGCATGTCCTGCTTCACCTTGGAGGCCGCCATCTTCCCCACGTCCGTCTCCCTGGCTGCAAGCAGCGGAGAACATTATGCGACGTGACGTCACCGCGGCAGACAGCGTCCTCGGTGGAGAGAGAGCGCCATCTTGAACGTGGCACAAAGTGTTAGAGAAAGGAGAGTTCTGCCTGAGATCGCAGTAGGAACAACTCCTCAATAATGAGAGTACATTTATTTTGGCCTCAAATTTAAAGCTCCCATGCCAAGTTCTGATATGTGTTAATAAGTCTGACGGAAATTTAACGTTTCAGCCTGAGATACATCAGAGTTCTCATACCTCCCAAAAATTTCAAAAGGAAAAAGAGCGACACTCCAGGCACCAAAACAACTTCATCTAAATTAACTTGTTATGGTGCCAGGAGGCCCCAGGCACATTCTACAGTTTAACCCCGAAGTTGCCTCCAGCACCGGTCAACACATGGCAACGCGCCGGATCTCGCGAGAGGATCCCGGCGGAGCCGCAAATTAGAGCTCCGCCGGGTCCTCTCTCCAGCCTGGCTGTCTCCCTCCCTCCCTCCCCGCCGGCGGCCGCATGTGGGCCGGTCAGGGAGATCCTTGATCTCCCCACCGGCCCGTCGTGGCAGACAGCGGGGCCGGCGCTAGGAGAGTGCCTGCATAGACCGGCAGGGGAGATCCTGGGACCTCCCCTGCCGGCCTCGGCCCCACGGACACCGCGGCCCACCGGGCATTTGCCCGGTGTGCCCGATGGCCAGTCCGGGCCTGGGTTTAACCCCTGAAGGTAAGAATGAGCCCGGGGCCGCCTGGCACCATATATTTAGATTAAGTTGTTATGGTGCCATTTGATGCTAAACTGTCCCTTTAATTATAAGTGGTAAGTGTCCCGGGCAATTCACTGTCCATGGACAGTCCCGTCAACTTGCTGGGCCATGTGCTTTTATTATATTCCTGTGGAATATAACAGCCTGTTACAGTCAGAGGGAATTCAAAAGAGTGATGCTGTGAGATGGAGAGTGGTGCTGGGAGATGCTGGGGGCTATAGGGAGATGCTGGGGGTCGGAGGGAGAACTGACAGTCTCCCTTCCGATTTCCCAGCAGCTTCCCCTGCACACAGGCTCCTGCTCTGCCTTGTGGACGCAGGCTCTGCCCCCACAATGGAAGCTCCACCCATGCTGACAAGCTCTGCCCCCACCGTTAAGCAGGAGTCCTTGCTCCAGTGCCAGGTAGGCTTGATATACTCAGATCTATGTGTGTATGTGCCTGCTACTGAGAAAGCTTGTGTGTGTCAGTGAGCTTGTGACAACTCACCACCACCAGGGCACAGCACCCCTAACATAAAGCACCCACACACTGCACCCCTCAAGCACACACACAAAGCACCTCTCTCACACGCACAGCACCCCTGACACAAAGCCCCCCTTACACACACTGCACCTCTGACACACACTGCACCTCTGACACACATACACAGCACCCGTCACAAACTGCACCCCTCACACAGACACACACGCAGCACCTGTCACACACACAGCACCCTCACACACACATACAACTTCTGTCATACACTGCACCCCTCACACACAACACCCCTAAACAAAAACACATACATTGCACCCCTCACTGCAGCGTGTGTGTATTCATCAGTCTATGTTTGTGCATTCAATTCCCTGTAATTCTCCCTTTATTGAGTAGACCCTGTAATCTGCACTATAAGTAGGTGGAGATTAATTATGTGGGTTGGACATAGTGGGCGGAGCTTTGTGGCAGTGGGTGTGCTACATTTTCAAGGTAGTAATTGATAGCTGTGCTGAAGAGAGTCCCTGGAATTTTCTTTAAAATGTTGGCAACTATGCGGTAGGCGGCTTTTTTTGAGAAATTTTAGGTGACTTACTGTGCGTTTTATTGCTGTGCAGCTTTGGTATGTGCCCAGACATAACTATTAGAAAATATGGACATTAGGATAGAAAAATAAAAGAGAGAGACAGGGGGAATTCAGCACAAAATAGCGAGTGTCCCTCCTAAATATATATAGTTGGGAGGCATGGTATGACGAGATGTGAGGAATCTTATACTAAATCAGTTAAACTGAAAAAAAATCTCTCTCTCAGTTATTTTGTTAAGAGCTGGCAATTTTCTTATCAATTGTACAATACTTAACCCCTTAAGACTGGAGCCAAATGTACAAGTTGTGATCAAAACAAAACGTAAACAAAACCTGGCATTTGCGCTGTATGTCTGTCCAACCGTAACTCACCTCTTTCATATTAAATGCACCCACACTTATTATATATCATTTTATTCAGGGGAAACAGGGCTTTCATTTAAAATCAAATATTTAGGTATGGAACATAATTTAATATGAATAAAATGTAAAATAAATGGGAGAAAATAAGATTTTTTTTAAAAAAATTCTTAGTTCTACGTGACATTCTAACTTTTACTGCAATAAAATACACATATTTGTATTCAGTGATGTCTCGTGTAAAACAGTATCCCCAATGTACAGGTTTTATGGTGTTTTGGGAAGTTACCGGGTCAAATATAGCATGTTAAATTTTTCCGTTTTTTCACATTGAAATTTGCCTGATTGGTTATGTTGCCTTTAAAACCGTATGGTAGCCCAGGAATGAGAATTACCCCCATGATGGCATACCATTTGCAAAAGTAAACAACCCAAGGTATTGCAAATGGGGGTATGTCCAGTCTTTCTTAGTAGTCACTTGGTCACAAACACTGACCAAAGTTAGTGTTAATATTTGAAAATTAAAAAAACTAATTTAAATGCCAATTTTGGCCAGTGTTTGTGACTAAGTGGCTACTAAAAAAGACTGAACATACCCCATTTGCAATACCTTGGGTTGTCTACTATTTCAAATGGTATGCCATCATGGGTGTAATTTCCATTCCTGGGCTACCGTACGGTCTCAAAGTGTATATATATATATATATATATATATATATATATATATACACACACACATACACATAAATACACACACTGTCTAAGTGTATTTTAATATTAATATATATATATATAATTAAAAATTAATAATATATATATATGATCTAAGTATATATTATTTAATTTTACACTGTTTTAAAAAAAAAATTTTTCAGACAGCAGGGGGAGAACCTGTCATTACAGGCACTCCCCCTGCTGGCAATGCCTTGGACGGCTATGCCATCCATGTGATCGCGAGGTCCTCGCAAGGACCTCGCGATCACATGGCCCAGAGGGGCCGAAGAGGAAGGAGGGGGACTTCCTGGGCTCCCAGGTGAGTCCGCATACTGCGATCACCGGTGTGGTATCACCGGCGACCAGGTAAATACATAAGATAGCAGGGCGCTCTATGCCGCCCTGCAGCGTTTAGAGCCACTTCCTTAAGGACCGCTTAGGGGTTAAAGTTAAATGAGGATATGTCACTTCCAAGGATGTTTATATACCTATATCCAGTTGCGACTGGTGAAGTTTTAAGATGGTGAGGCTCCAGACTCTTCCCTATAAAATACAGAATTTTGTCCTCCATATACAGTACAGAGATACTCATACAGAGAGCTGAGCATAATACAGAGATGCTCATACAATAAACAATGCAATAAAACAAGCTGGGTACAACAAGGAAGATATCTACCAAACACACAGTGCTGAGTACAATACAGATATAACCATACCACAGAGCTGAGAAATAAAATAGAAATATAATACACAGAGCTGGGCATAATACGAAGATATCAATAAAATACACTGAGCTGAGTAGACTACGCAGTGTTCGCCAATCCAGTCCTCATAGACAACCAACAGTCCAGGTTTTGTCAGAATCTCCATTGGAATAAAACAGGGAAAGACATAAATCCTGGACTGTTGGTGGTCCCTGAGGACTGTGTTGGGTAACACTGGGTCACTACAGAGATATAATAACACACAGCGTTAGCACAATAAGGAGATAAGATAACTATCCCACACAACCAGGATCACTGCGATCAGGGCGTGACAGCCATGACGGTTGTCACAGGCCTGGGGGGCCCAGGCCTCACATTCCATATGTTCACATATATATAGCGATTATTGATTTATATATGCCCTAGCACCGGTGGAACTACCACTGGTGCAGCCAGTGTGGCTGCACTGGGGCCTGCATGCTGAGGGGTTCCATCGGGTGGCCCATGCACTTTGGGACACCTGGTGGGCATATTTATTTATTTATAAAATATTTTATTTATTTATAAAATATTTTACCAGGAAAGATACATTGAGATTTCTCTCGTTTTCAAGTATGTCCTGGGTCCACAAATCATTGCATTGTTACATTAGGGTACAATAAAATACAAAAACAATATTAATACACAATAAATACAAAATTTAACATAGAACAGGTAGGAAATATATAATCAATCCATAACAGGTGCATTCTGTTATGAGATATGTAGAGAGGGATTTCTTAAAGGACTTTAGGCTTAGGGAAGATTTTAAATTGTGCGGGAGGTCGTTCCACAATTGCGGTGCTCTGTAGGAGAAGGAGGATCGTCTGCTTTCTTTTTGTATTTAGGTAGACTAAGTAAAGTGTTGGTACTGGATCGGAGGTTATAGGAAGTGGGAACAGCCGGGGAAAGCATTTTGTTCAGGTAGGGTGGGAGTTTCCCAGAAAAGCTCTTAAACGCAAGGCTGGAAAGATGAAGGGTGCGTCTGGATTCCAGCGACAACCAATTTAGTTCTTTTAGCATGTCACAATGGTGAGTCCTGTAATTACATTGTAGCACAAATCGGCAGAATGAGTTATACAATGTGTTGAGTTTATTAATGTGGGATTGCAATGCAGATGCATATACTACATCCCCATAATCAATGATTGGCATCAGCATTTGCTGTACAATCTTTTCCTTTACTATAGGGCTTAGGCAGGATTTGTTTCTGTACAGGGCACCTAGTTTTGGATAAAGTTTAGATGCAAGCTTTTCTTTTTTTGTTAATCAAGTTTTATTGAGTATCAGTGAAAACAGTACTGTTGGGCACGCAGACCCGCAATAATAGGGTTTGAGTACAGTGTAAAGACCGTAGAGATTCCTACAGGTATAGCATTCAATAAGGAAAACAGTGTTCAATAAC